AATTCTTCAAGAAAGTCATTAAATTGAAGTAATAATTATTGATTGGGTAAATATGGACAGAATATTGATTACTCCTTGAAATCACAAACGTGACAAATATTTTTTAAAAAAATTATTTTCTCAAATTGATAAGTATTATGAAACAGAGGTAGTAATTAAATTAATAATAATATATATATGCATGCTTTTTGTTTGTCATAATCATGTCATTAAATTAATCAATGTGTTAAGATGAGCAGTCTAATACTTTTTTTCTCTCAAATGAGGTGGATTGTTGGATATTCATAAATCCAATAAATACTCGTCGTCTTACTTCTCGGTGAGTCCAAAAAGCACAAATATGATTTAATTTTAAAAACACTACCTCTATTGTTTATATTGCAGTGAAGTAGTGTTTATAAGAATGTTTAGAGTAAAAAGGAAAAAAAAAAAAAATGGACATAAAGTGGGTTAATATATATGAGTAGTAATCTCCTTTGTGTAAAAATATAAAAATTGTTTATATCATTATTAATTAGGTGTTAATTGATATTTGAATTTTAAAAACATTATAATAAAAATGAATTACACATGTCATATGTAGGACGGCTGGATGGGGTTATTCAATTCAAGATGTGTTGGTGGAATATTGAAGAGATGGGATTTAGTCAAATCACATGGAAGAAAAATCTTTCTTCCTTTTGAGGCATTTGTTGACTTTGGAAAGCCATTTAGCCACAGATTATGTAAATCCAAGACCATATGACTTTTCTTTTTTTCTTCAATTCAACTGCAGAAATTAAATAGTTTTAACCGTAAAACACGAGTATTGTCGGGCATTCAGCACACCTTAAAGGAAAAAGAGACAAAAAAAAAAAAAAAAAAAAAAAAAATTCAGCACAATCCTGTAAAGGAAAAAGCAGGACAAAAAAAAAAAAAAAAACAAAAAAAAAAAAAAGGACCATACATCTAAAGTGACCAATGCCGGAAAGCACCTAACAAGAGCAAAATACTTCTAAAAAAAAAAAAAAAAAAAAAAAAAAAAAGGACCATACATCTAAAGTTGACAATGCCGGAAGCACCTAACAAGAGCCAAAATCTTATTCATTCAGCTCTGTTGGCAATAATTTTTAAACCAGTTTTTAACGTTTTAATTATATTAACTCTATCTCTATTTATTATATTATTCATGATATAATATTATAATGGCTTTTAAAGATTTACGGAACTTTTATTATTGAAATTTTACCCCTTGAATTTAGTTAATTAAACAACTCATCGGTGAAGATAATAATTTTTTCCTCAACTACAAAAAAAATATTGCTGGAATATTAGAAAATATTTTTTTTGAATGCCATTTACTGCTGTGATCATCTAAAGGAGTACATTCTTGTATAAGAGTACTTAGACAAAGATTATAAAAGAAACAAATTATATTTATTTCACTTTTTAATAATTTTGTTATGGTTATTCAGTAGATAAATTTTTTTTATAAATTTATATTTTAATGTTTAGGAAGAATGAAATTTCGTTTTTAAATTAATTTAGATTTTCAAAAATCATTTCAGATCAATAATATTGCTAATTGAAATGGATCAAATTAAACTAAGTATTTACATTATTCAGTTAAATTGTGTTAAGTAAGAAAAATCATAACTCAACACTCAACATAAATTTATAATTCATGTTAAATATTTTTATTAAGAAAATTGAAATAATTAATAATCGATAAATGAAATAAATGCTAAGATATTTTTTATAATTGATTCACTAATAAAAAATCACATCTATTTAGAATAAATGGATTTCAATTTCATTTTGAAATTTTTAGAGCTTTTAATTTGAATGCACTTACCTTTAATCCAATGACTTTCCTCTATTAACATTACTTTTCAATTTTCCTTATTTTAAAAATTAATTTTTAAATTCAGCCAAAAAGAATCTCTAAAATCTGATTAGACCAATAATTAAAAAAAAAATAATCAAAGATCAATTTGATACTTTAGCATAAAAAAATATATTCACTTACCAATTAAAAATAAAATAAAAAATATGATGGATTTTGTAGATGTATTATGTCTTTAAACATCAAATCGGTTCTTATCATAAATTCTGAATCAAAATTCCCAGAATCAAACAAGGGTAGGACTTAGGTTGTTTTCTTTTTGTCAGAAAGGATCTTTATCAGAATAAATATAGAATTGATATAAATATGTTTGCAGTCAAACCTCAATCATGTAATTGCTTTAATGGTATTAATAATTGAAGTCTAAATTCATAAATAGAGATGCTTTATACTTATATACCATCCTCAAGTTGAGGGATGCTTTCTTTCTTTTTTCTTTTTTCTTTTTTATTAATTATTATTTATTTTCTCATCACTTTAATAGGTTAAAAATAAAATATTCTTTGATGATTTATATATTCTGATAAATTATGTAAGTTTTGCATATTCTTTGTTCAATTTGTCCCTTAATAGGCATGCATAAACCACTCTTTATTAAGACAAAAAGCCTTTAGGAAAAGTTCACATCTTATCTCATTTCGATTTTCACACACTGTTTTTATTTTTGTAAAAGATATGGCTATGAGAATATTATATAACACAATTAAATAAAAAATTTATATTTTTTTAGGTAGAAGGTTGTGTGAATAATAAATAGAGAAATACCATTTTGCTAATTAAACTTTTAATTTTAGGTATATAGATAATTTTCCTTTAGATGATATTCGCTTCTTTTTTTTCCTAGTTTATAATAATAATAATAATAATAATAATAATAATAATTAATCCTAATTTAAAGAGTTTGGTAATTGGTTACCTAAAAAAAATTTTCTAGAAGCTAAAAAGGTGTAAGGATGAGCATAAGGATATTAAAGTATAAAAATTATAAGAATAACTACTCACGCATATTATTGTCTGCTATTAATGAAAACCATAATTATCATTAATGTTTTTAGTTAAAAATAATTATTTAATACCTTTTTAGAAAAAATAAAATTAAAAATTTAATTAAGAGGAAACTGTATACAGATATGAGATACTGATTAATATGTTTATATATTTTTGTATAGTAAGTGTAATAATAAACCACTTATATAAAAAATAAAAAATCACAATATTAATTTGAAGTATCTGATCGAGTTGACACTAGAGGAAACTGTATACAGATATGAGATACTGATTAATATGTTTATATATTTTTGTATAGTAAGTGTAATAATAAACCACTTATATAAAAAATAAAAAATCACAATATTAATTTGAAGTATCTGATCGAGTTGACAGAGTATAATATTTGTGTCATTGGCGATCGCTTGCTAAACTTGGTGGCTATTCATAACTACTGTTTGACTTCATGGTGTTTCTACAAGTCTAATCTGATTATTTTCAAATTTCTTCTGAAAATCTATACTTATTTCTGCATAATTATCCAAATAATAAAAGATGTTAGACAAAATCACCGTAAAGGTGACAACAATAATTCAAAATTAGATATGAGAACAAAATTTCAATATATATGCGACAATAATTCAGATCTGTATATAAATCTGAGAATTATTTATAAAAAAATAAACAAAAAAAAGAAAAGAAAAAGAGGTGACCACCATTGAGTTCGGTTACCCGTGGGATAAGAAAAAAGAACTTTTAGATTTTAGGTCCAAGAGAAAAAATAATTATTTAATAATTGGAACAAATGATATTAGGAGAAAAAATTTGAACATGTTTCGAAATTTTCTAAAATAAAGTGAGTAGAAGTAACTTTTGACGTTGAATATGATTGATCCATAATTCATGTAGTGCCATGGATTTTTATGTGAAGTCAGGACTCAAAAGAGTAAGAACATCTTGAACAAGTCATACCAAAAGCAACAATTCTTCTTCAAGAAACAACTAAGAATTACGTGTTCAACAGGAATTTTTATTGATAAGTCACTATTCAAATTTCACAAATATTACATTTCCAAAGTAGTTAAATTTATTATGTCAAGATATAATTTAATAATAAGTGCATCTTTATAATAAATTCAGATTCAGATACTTCTGTTGACATATACACACTAAAATTTTCAAAGAAATGAATAATTAATTAGTATTTAATTTTATTTTTTGTTATACTTATTAAGACCCAACCAGACCGAATATCTTTGGGAGTGTGTTTGTTTAACCAAGCCTAAGCATTCTGAAAGATTAAATTGTAAAATCTGTGATTGACTCCAATGGGCCTTGTCTGCGCCCACAAGACTATGTTGGGCTCTAAACTGCTGAAATGTCAGGTTTATTGAATTAAATTTATACTCTCTAGTAAATAAGACAAAAAGAACTATGAGAATGCTTTTTTTATCCGCAATTCATAATTTATTTTATTAAATTCTAAAATTTAGAAACAAATTATTAACCAAATATGATAAAACTTGGCAGCAGGCTCTTTTTACAACTTATTAATTTAACATGACTCGACTTTGATTAGCAAATAAAAACTTATTAGAAATTTAGGGGAAAAAACGTATTCCTTTGATTTAAAATATTATTTCCTGTTTTGAAAACATTAGAACCCATATGGAAATTAAAATTTACAATTTTGATTTGTCAATTTTATGCTTGAAAATGAGAGAATTTGTAAAAGCTAAATGATTTTGACAGACTACATATCATGTCGTTTTAAGTCAATTTCAATTTCAATATCTTTACAATATATATTTGGTCTACTAAAAAATTGGGTTGTTTTAAAATGACTTAAGGATAATTAAGAAAATAAAATAAATTTATTGTTGCTGTAGATAGTGTTTGAACTTTGAACAATTCTTGCACAATAATTCAATTCATTTCAATAATTATAAGGGCTATGTGAGCATAGAATTAATGCTAGTAAGGCCTCACAAACTTTGAAGCTGAAGTGACAGGATAGAGCTTGGCCCAATTTAAAGTTCAGTGCTGAAGATCCAACTTGATCCAAGAAAAGATTAGAGCCTGAAAGGCCAAATTTATAATTAAATTTTAAATTGGCCCAGGTGGTCCCAAATCTACTCTCGCAACCACCTGAATCTCACCTCCTCGCTTCCCATTTTCAGCCACCTGCCACTAAGAAGTGCGAACTGAGAACTGATGCTCCATCGAAATGGCTATCCTTAGTCCTTATTTCCTCCTTGTCATAACCACCATCACTGTCATCATCTTCATAACATCGCCGACATCAATCGCATCACGGCCGTCTAATTTTCCCAGCTCAAAGCGAGCTCCACGTTTTCTGGGGAAATTTGCACACCCAGAAAAAGCCCAGCAGTATCGGCAACAGTACCAATACGAGACCCGATACTTTTACCAGAAACTCGACCACTTCAGCTTCTCGGACCTCCCGAAATTCCCGCAACGGTACCTTTTAAACACCGATCATTGGGTGGGTCCCAACCGACTGGGCCCCATCTTCCTGTACTGCGGGAATGAAGGCGATATTGAATGGTTCGCCGTTAATACAGGCTTTGTTTGGGACATCGCGCCTCGTTTTGGCGCCATGGTCGTTTTCCCTGAGGTCAGCTCAGCAAATTATTTTTCGTTTGGTTCTCGGGAAAGATGACCTTTCTGGGAAATTACACAATAATACTTCGAATTGGAGTTATTGAAAAGTGGATTTTGCTTCTTGCAGCACCGGTACTATGGAGAGTCAATGCCATATGGAAGCAGGGACGTGGCATATAAGAACGCTACTACACTGTCTCATCTAACGGCGGAGCAAGCTCTAGCTGATTTCGCGGTGCTGATAACTGACTTGAAGAGGAATCTATCGGCGGAGGGTTGTCCGGTGGTGTTATTTGGCGGATCATACGGTGGAAGTAGGAATATATTCTTAATAATTCGTTTTGTTCAATTTAATTTAGTTAATGCATTGGCCATTGATTAATAAAGGTTGGTTTATGAAATGGTGTGTTAGTGTTGGCGGCATGGATGAGGCTGAAGTATCCTCATATAGCGATTGGTGCGCTTGCTTCATCGGCGCCAATTCTTCAATTTGAAGATATTGTGCCGCCGGAAACATTTTATGACATTGTTTCTAGTGATTTCAAGGTCAGGTTTCTCCTTCTTTACTTTTATTTGGTCATTGTTGATTCTGTTTTTGAATAAAGTTTCTCTATCTGTAGCGTGAAAGCACAAGCTGTTTTAACACTATAAAAGAGTCGTGGCATGCATTAGTATCTGAGGGTCAGAAAGAGAATGGACTTGTTCAATTGACTGAAACTTTCCACCTTTGCCGGTATGAGAACAGGATAAGATTGAAGAAATTTTTGGTTGTTAGTACATTGCAGTATTATGTATTTGTGTTTGATGTGATTGAAATTGAAGATTATTGACAGGAAATTGAATAGCACGGAAGAGCTTTCAAACTGGTTGGATTCTGCTTATAGTTATTTGGCAATGGTGGACTACCCCTATCCTTCAGCCTTTATGATGCCTTTGCCTGGACACCCTATAAGAGAGGTTACATTAGATTTCTTTTGCACTTTAGAGAATTTCATTGTTTCATTCACTTGTATATGCACAAGACTTGGACAAACTTCTTGCTAATTTAAAAGCACAGGTCAACACAGGAGAATCTGTGAGTTTATTTTAGGGCATCCATAGTGAGTTTATATTGGGGTTATTCCTGCATTCTTCGTGATTTTATGAGCATATCATGAACCATTGTCATGGCGTTGGGATGTTTCTCTGTTTCATTTAGTTTATCAAGTATATATTAACCTCTTCAGCATTGGAAATTTGTTCTTTTCTTTGCATACTTCAAAGTTCTTAGAGAGTTGGCTGTAATTTCTTGTGAGATACTCCTTTTCTGATCAGTATTTAGGATTAATATATATGAATTGTAGTGGATAATGTAAATTTACTAGTCATGGTTTCTTTTGTTTAGGTTTGCAAAAAAATTGATGGTTCTCCTGATGGGACTAACATTCTGGAACGTATTTTTGAAGGAGTAAGCATTTATTACAATTATACTGGGGATGTTGACTGCTTTGAGCTGGATGATGATCCTCATGGATTGGATGGTTGGAACTGGCAGGTCGAGAAGTGTTACAGCCATACTTCTTTTTGTTTTTGTCTCTTCCTTCTCCAAATTTGGATAAGCTTACATTTACATTTTCCAAAATTTGCTGTTTACGATTTCTCATTCTGTAGGCTTGCACTGAAATGGTGATGCCAATGGCTAGCAGCAAGGATGCAAGCATGTTTCTCACATATGACTTTAATTACACTTCTTTCAAAGAAGAATGTTTGAAGAATTTCGGGGTTGAACCTAGGCCCAGATGGATAACTACAGAATTTGGTGGACATGTAAGCGAATAAGAAATGTATAGAATTTCTTTTTATCACTATATCCTTTCCTTTAATTGATACTTTTTGACTTTTAACAAGAATTAAGAAAATGATTGAACCACGTTAATTTTAGAACAAAATAAGAATTATTGACTAAATTACTCTTTAATTAATTCTTTGTCATCAAGAGAGACAAAGTTTGGTGGAGATATCTAGACAAGGGTAAAGTTGGAATAAAATAATCAATACTATCTTGTTTCTAAAAGTGCCATCTAAGTGAAAAAAAAAAAAAAAGTGAAAAAGTGGCAAAATCAACGGAACAGAGGTAGTATGCATTACCTAGTTTATCATCATGCGCTAATTTTCACTTTTATACACTTCATTATGCTTTCACAGATTACAATAGCATGATCCATTCTGTTTTAGATTGCTTTCGTCTTCTCTCATGTGTGATATGAGGAAAGCTTAGCCTCAATCCCAAATTTGATTCTGATGATTCCCTTTTATTGTAAAGGATATCAAGACTGCACTAGAAAGTTTTGGAAGTAACATAATTTTCTCTAACGGTCTACTAGATCCTTGGAGTGGTGGCAGGTATGCAGCTGATTGATTATTACTCTCCTCAAATATCTAAACTAAGCTCTGATAATTGGTGTTGTTATTTCTTGCAGTGTGCTGCAGAATTTATCTGAAACCGTTGTTGCCCTTGTTACAAAAGAAGGTAACTGTATCATGAAACTTCACCCTTTGCATGTTAAAGCAAGCTTGGTTTCAATTTGCGTGATTTTTAGGAATTTTTTCATGGAGAAATCTTTTAAGTTATAGAATAAGCAGCATAAATAATTTAGGGGGCTATGAACTCCATCCTGCCATATTAATCAATGGGCTATGACTCTGGATGGATAATTACTGTGTGCGACTTGTCCTTGTTAAAGTCCTGGTTTATCCTAGTAAACCCAGGGGAAAGCATAAGGATGCATGGAGAGCAGTTTTATTCAGAAAAATGCAAATTATATTTCAAACAATATTAATCGTCTTAGTTTTCCAGTCAACTAATTGTATTCGTTGGCTGGCAACATATGGCAATCAAGAAAGTCTTCTGCAACATGAATCTTTGCTTATCGGCAAGCATATTTAATGTGACTATGTGACTCTTCTTGGCCTACATCTTGTTCTCATAGCCTGTTCAAGGGTTCAAAGGCATCAAGTAGTCCCTTAATGGTGTGATCTCTGATAGCCATGAATAAATTAATTCTTTGGCTTTTTGGTTATGTTTTTCACTTTCTTTCTATTTTCTAACCTTAAACTCAAGACTATTGTGTAGAGCATTTTCTAAAATTTTTGGATATTGCATTGCACATTTAGGTAATCCTTTTCATTTTTATTCAACCTCTCATTTTTTTTTCCACTGTAATACAGTGAACATTTCCGACGAAACTAGCTACCTAATTTTAGCCTAGACTACATCATTAGTATTTTCAGCACTGCATAAGGGTTGAGTTCTTTCATGAGTCTTGTGAGTAATTTGCAGTCAGTCATAAAACTCACACCAGGCCTGATAGTTGTTTGCAGTCCAGCATGGGGCAGCTGGAGAAAAATTTTGATATCAAACCACTAATTATAGTCTATAATTTTATTGCAAGATGCTATTTATTGCCTTCATATTAAGACTGTAAGGATTGAATACGTGCTAAAATGGTTGATATGATCTGTTATTTGGTACTCAAAGCAGTTAGAACAAGGGGAATATTTGCTAGTAGAAAATAAATGTATCGTCTTTACCATGTGCCAGGGGCTCATCACATAGATTTGCGTTCGTCAACACCTGAAGATCCTGATTGGTTAGTAGAGCAAAGGGCAACTGAGATCAAGCTGATTGAAGGATGGATAAATGGCTACAATCAAAAAAAGAAAACAACTTTCAACATGTAGAGATTTTTAGACTGCTTTATTTGATCTTTCCACTATCTATAAGCCATTTTGTCTCTTCTCGTTTACTTGCTGGAACTGGAATGACTAAATAGAACCTGTTGGATGCTTTGATTCCGTTTATTAGGTCTGTAATGTTTAGAAATACCCTTGTAAGAGGACGGTACTGTGCTGTATATAATCTTAATTTTTCTCTTTTTGGCTGTGGAAAAATTAAATTTGCTATTGGTTTATAATTTCTGAGGTTAATGAATTTGTATTAAAATAGTATAAGACCAGGTATGCCTAGATTGCCAAGTTTACATTACTCAACTTTCACTTAACATAATAAAAAAGAAAAAATTATTAATATACACTCGGAGGAAGAGCTTTGTCCCTGGATCTGCCCGTGTAAATCTGGATGAGGCAAGTAATGGATTTTGGATACCGAATGGTTAGATTAGATTTAAAAAAAAATGAAATACTGAATGGCTAGATTAAAAAAAAAAAAAAAAAAAAAAAAAAAAAAAAAAACCAGAGCTTTAGTCCTGGTTGCCGCCCGTGTACATCTGGATCGAGCGCAAGTAATGATGGATTCTTGGATACCGAATGGTTAGATTAAGAATTAAAACAAAATGCAATCCTGATCGGCTAGATTAACAAAAAAAAAAAAAAAAAAAAAAAAAAAAAAAAAAAAAAAAAAAAAAAAGAAAGAAAAGAAGAACTGAACATAGCATAAATTATGATATTTTACTGATAGAGAATATCAGATTACATGAAATACAATACAAGGAAGAAAATTTCAATATTTCATTATTCAAAAATGATAAACAAAATGGAAATAAGCTTTTCCTTATTATATATTATTGCGAAGATGCTGTGATTGTAACACAGCAAAATAGCTAGATATTAATCAAGTTGATGAGCCAAATTGTTTCTGAAGATAGTTGATCACATTCATCTCCAATTGGAAACCCTTGGTAAGAACATCAGGATTAATTGGTGGATTAGATCCGAACACTGCATTTGCAATCAAAACGACTCCTGGATTTTGGCTACTCAGTCCAGAAATAGCGACTGCATCAGTTTCTCCAATATTAAATTGAAAATGAATCAAACCGATTGGAAAAACAAAAACATCTCCTGGATTTAAAACTTTGGAAATTAAACGACTAGGATTGGATGTGACAAAACCCACATAAAGTTTGCCTTTCAAAAGTGTTAGAATCTCGGTGGCACGTGGATGATAATGAGGTGGAACTAAACCTCCATAAGGTGCAAAGTCCAAACGTGCTAAGGATATACCTAAAGTATTTAGTCCTGGTAATGTGTCAACACTCACGAGTGTTACATTTGATCCAAGTTGATTTTTAGTATTTGCAGGTATATTTAGCCCTGGAAAAAAGAAATCATTTGCAGTTGCACGCATTGGGTCCATGCAAAATTTTCCATTCACGAATACTGCATAAAAAAAAAAAAAAATTAAATAGCAATTATTAAATAGCAATAATCAAAAAAAACAAAAAAAAACACATATCCACTTAGCTTATAAAATAAAGAAATAAAATACTTTACAGAAATTTTAATTTCAAAATAGTAATATATATATATATATATATATATATATATATCCTTTACGTAACTTCCATCCGTAGGTTTCTTAACATGGAACAACAAAAATCTTGAAGAGGACTAGGATCAAAGGTGCAAAGGCAAAACGAGTAAGACAGAACTACAAGACAAAAGCTAGAAGGAAATGGTGTTCCATATATCCTTACGTACTTCCATCCGTAGGTTTCTTAATGGCAACACAAAAATCTTGAAGAGGACTAGGATCAAAGGCAAAGGCAAACGAGTAAGACAGAACTACAAGAACAAAAGCTAGAAGGAAATGTGTTCCTTTCATTTTGTATCTAATTGGGTATTTCAGTTTCTTTTTTTTTTCTTTGAACTCCTGAAGATGGTTTTTGAGCTAGGAGAGGGATGGGAAATCTTGTACGGGAACAAGTGAATTTATAGATAGGAGCAATTTGAACTAGTCTTCGTTCTCTACATATGCAGAAAATTAATTTATAAAGACTTGGCTTAATGAATTAATCTTCACCGGTTAATTTCTACACAACTACTACTTAGGATTTAAATATTGTTTATTTTCCATGCTTACTTCAGTACACTTTTTGGGTTTGGAACTAATCCTTTTCATTTCTTTTGTCAATAAACCAAAATTGTTAATGAGAAATTAATTCAAAAAAATAATTAATGTAGTCTTTGAGACATATCAATATTATACTCACTAGGATGTGATCTACCCCAGTCATTCCTTATTTTAGGTAAGGTTGAGGCTTCTAGAGTTTCTTTAATTAAGACTAAAACAGATATATTTATGTTAATTGGATGATTAAATTATCGACCTGGAGAATCAGTAAAAGTTAGTTGGTTAATCTCCTTCACATTAACAAGTTGAAGGAGATGCTTTCAGCATTTACGTAATCCATACTGAGTCAATACACATTTCTATTGCATTTGCTTCCAGTTGGTGGGAAACTTTGGGCAACACTTCATGAAATCAAATTGCATCAGATAAACAATCCTGGATACCAAGTCATTAAGACTTGGTTTGATTTAAAATGATCTATTTTCGAGGAAATACGTGCACTTCCAAGGAAATTATTGCTCAATAAATTTAATTTGAGTGTATTTATTATGCAAATGAACTTCATGGAAACTAAATTACTCTCAAACTAGAAAAGATATTTAAATATATTTTGATAATAAGATAAATTGATAAATTCATTGTTAATTCCCTTTTGTAAGGAAGTTGGATGATTTAATTTCGGGAACTAGAATTGATAATGCAAATCCAATATAAACACTTTATGCACTTGGCAAAAAGTTACACTTCTCTATAGTTTACTTATCCCTAAGCAAATATTACCTCACTTCCTAATCAACAGTGCCTAATGCCCACAAAGCGTATGCAATGGGGTTTTTAAACCTTCTTGTTCATGGGTTACAAACTGCTTGTCTGAATTTCTTTTGGACAAGCAGGAAAGGCACTGATTGTTCGTCAAGGAAGCAGATCATGTGAGAGGGATCAACATCGATAAAGAAACTGGATCAAAATCAGCATTTTCAAACAGTATTAATTGTAATTTCTAGAGGAAGGAAACTATTTCCTATAGTTAAGGGAAAGTTTCCCCTGTCGTTGGCTGTGGTCTTCCTCTTTACGTTGTTTTTCTCTACTGTGTTATTTGGAAACTGATAAACGCAGTTGTCGTGGGACGACATGATACACATTTTACTTTTAGACAAGTGAGCCATCCAAAGACCACAATTTATATAAATATTTCTGGAAACACAGATGGATCAAATGTAATACTCGTAACGTTAATATATTTAGCATGTATTATTTTTTCATTCCACCCATTTTTTCTTCTCTTTTTCAATTTGTGCCTAAACATAGTATAAACTTAGATTTCTTTGCAACATACATTTTTTTATTAACATTCAAAAAAATGAAGAGTATCAAATTATAAGAAATATATATAGAAGAAAACTTCAATATTTCCTTATTCAAACATTAAAATCAAGATGGAGATGAGTGACTCCTTATTACAAAGGTGCTTGAATGGTAACACATAAAAGTAATTAAATATTACTATCAATCACAAACATTTCATAAATTAATAATGGTTGTTGACCCAGGATTTTTTCTGAACATAGTTGACCACATTCTTGTCCACTTGGAATGCCTTGGTGAGAAAATCTGGATTAATTGGTTGATTAGATTTGAACACTGCATTTGCAATGGTAATGACTCCTGGATTTTGGCTAGCTACTGAATCCAGCAAAGCAACTGGATTGGTTTCTCCAACGTTAAACTGAAAGTGAATCAGACCAATTGGGAAAACAAAAACATCTCCTGCATTTAAAACTTTGGAAATTAAGTGATTATTAGGATTGGATGTGACAAAACCCACGTAAAGAGTGCCCCTTCAAAACTACTAGAATCTCCGTGGCACGTGGATGAATGTGAAGTGGATTTAAGCCTCCATACGGTGCAAAGTGAAGACGTGCTAAGGTTATTCCCAGGGTATTTAGTCCTGCTATTTTTTCAACATTTATGTCTGTAACATTTGATCCAACTTTGTTTGAAGTATTTCCAGGAATACTTAGTCTTAAACAGTAAAATTCATTTGCTTTTACAAGCATTGGATCTCTGCAGAATTTTCCATTCTCGAAACACTGCATAAAAAATAATATGCTTGATCCAATTAAAATATTATTTTTCATTGGTTTCTTGCATAAGTGGGCTCATAGTACCCTCATTTTTAAGGGGTAAAATTATAACTTGATATGGACAACCATTATCCTTCAACATATCCAAATTCCAAACTAAAATGGAATAAATAGAAACTGAAAATTGGAATTGATTTGAAACACTGGGCCGGATCTACTCTAGACAGGCCCATATTAAAGTTTCTTTCCATCTCTCTTTTTTGCCCTTTTTTGGAAAACGTAAAATGGCACTTCCTTTTTTCAAAAATCTTAAACCCCGTATTCAAGCAAAAGAATGAATTACATTTTAAACCGGATTAGTCCAAACGAAAAGCCGACTTAATTCACCTTTTGTATACAAGGCAAGGCAGTCAGAAATAAAAAATGAATTTACTTTTTCAGAATTGATGACGTGGAAAAGTTGACTAACGAGTCCTGACTAATGACTATCACTAAGCTTCTATCACGAGGAGTATCTCTTTCTCGTTCATATCCTCTGCAAATTCAATTTCAATTTTCAATCCAAATTTTCAGCCGCTAAAATCCAAGTTCCGTACCAACCACATAACGACGCCGTTTCGACCTCCCTCTGCCTCCCTATATAACTACGGGCCTACAACTCGGGCCAACTCACTTTACTAACTCACTTTACTCATCACTATTTCCGTTGGTAAAAAATCAGAAAGTAGTGTTCAGACTTGTCCACTCAAGAAAAGAAGAAGATTTTATATAAAGAAGGTAGAGAGAGTCAGGGAAAGCTCGAGAAAAAGGAAAAGAAAAAGAAAAAAGAAAAAGAAAAGTTAGCTAACTGTGAATTGACTGATTTCTACTAACCAAACAGCATCAGATCGTGGAATTTAGGGATTTTTATATACTTTTGGAGTTTTTGATCGCAATCGAGAAATGGCCAGCCCAATCACTCCAAGTACTGGTAGAGCTTTATCAATAACGCCTGGTGCAAGGGTTTTGAAACCCCCTCTTAGCGATGAAACGATTTGGAAGCGGCTCAAAGAGGCAGGTTTTGATGAGGAATCTGTTAAAAGAAGAGATAAGGCTGCTCTTATAGCCTATATCGCTAAACTCGAAGCTGAGGTTTGGTTTTATTGATTTTTCGAAATGTTCTTTTTATGGTTCTTTTGAGTTGGGGTTTTAGCGTTCTGGAATTTGGGGTTTGGTTAGAGATTTAGGGTGTTTATTTATTTAATTAAAACAATAATGTGATTTAAATTAGAAAGAAATGGAAAACTGTGTTTCTTAAAATTTTGATTCCGATTTGAAATTTATTTATATTTTGATGTAAGAATTGTTGTTGCTAGTTGTGCCATTAACCTTTTACTTTTGAAAGTTTTTGGCTTTAATTGATTATTGGAAACAGTCATATTTGTCACATTGTAATGGCTTAATATATAATGTATGAAATTTCACTTTCAATTTGGTTTGGTTCTATAGTGATCAATTATGGTGGACCAAAGGGACTGGTTTAGGAATAATTAAATGTTTGAAGGATGTGGTTAATTGTTTTACAAAATATATTTTTGGAAGAGTTTTACAAAATATCTAATTATGGATATATAATAGTTTATACGGCATGATAGATGTTTCTGTGCCTTTGGTGAATGCTATTCCATATTGCATTTTAATATTATTTACACTCTGATTGTGATACTTGAAATGGGAACACAGTCGTTTTGGAGGGGTGCTGGTATACTTTCAGGGACATTCTTTTTCATGGTTGTTCTTCAATTAATATATTGAGCTGTTTCACTCATTGTGCCAGTGTTTTGATGAAGTTGAAGTTACAAAAATCACTATTTGAAGATTATTCAACTGCATAAATGTTTCATATCTGTGCTTAATTCCCATACCATGTCCCTCTATTTCGGATGTTTCCATCTTGATTTGGGCCTTGCATTGCTTCCTATGAGGTTTATGGGATATTGAAAAGTATTTGTGTCTAGTTATACTGAACCTCACTATGCTGTAGTTGTGTTTGATTTTATTTTGATTGGAATCCTTGTTATAATTGAATTTGAATCTGCTGGCAGCCTGTATTGATAGCTGCATTTAATGTTTCCTTTTTTTGTTAGGCTTTCTTATTATATAAAAGTCTTAAATTCTGCTGAAACTCATGATGGCTTTGGCAATGATATACCTGCTTATCTGTATATCTGAATGGTGTAAACTTCATGCAGGTCTTCGACCTTCAACACAACATGGGCCTTCTTTTATTGGAAAGAAAGGAGTTCACATTAAAGTATGAGCAAATCAAAGACTCTGCTGAATCTGCTGAACTAATGCATAAGCGTGATCAAGCTGCACACTTGTCTGCTTTAGCTGAAGCCAGGAAACGGGAAGAGAACTTGAAGAAGGCTCTGGGAGTTGAGAAAGAGTGTATAGCAAGTGTAAGATTTTCTTTAGGTTCTTCCTTCTTCCTATCTGTTCTCTATTAATGTTGTAATTTTTTTTGTTGTTTTCTGTTGGATTTTATAGATTGAGAAGACTTTACATGAGATGCGTGCTGAATCTGCTGAAAGTAAGGTTGCAGCTGAGTGTAAATTAGCTGATGCACGCAGCATGGCAGATGATGCTCAGAAAAAATACATGGATGCTGAGGCAAAATTTCGTGCTGCAGAAGCTTTACAAGCAGAAGCAAGCCGATGTCGTCGTGATGCAGAAAGAAAGCTCCAGGAAGTAGAAGCACGTGAAGATGATCTTAGCAGGCGTATCAGCACTTTCAAGGCTGAGTATGTATAGTATTCATTTTTTTTTAGTTTACTGCCTAAATTTTAATGGATGGAATTTGAATGAATCAGACATAATGTCATTGCATCTAGCTTTACTGCATATACTCCCCAAGAGCTGTTAGCTGTACATCCTACTCTATAAAATAAAGGCAGGCAGGCTGCCCTTATGACCAATGCTTAAAATAAGAGTTAGAAAGTGTCAGATTTGGGGATCCACTACATTTTAACTTTCCTCAAGCTTCTACTTTTCTTTTCTTTTTTTTTTTTTTTTTTCCTTTTTTTTTGCTGCCCTTAATGACCAATGGCCCTTTTTTTTTTTTTTTTTAAAATAAAGGAGTTAGAAAGTGTCCAGATTTTGGGGGATCCACTACAATTTTAACTTTCCTCAAGCTTCTACTTTTCTTTTCCACTTTTTTTTTTTTTTTTTTTTTTTTTCCTTTTTTTTTATGTATCCTGGAACAGATAGTCACCCTGATATCTTTTTAAGCCTGTTAGCGAGGTAGATGTTGGAAGTTTTCAAAATTCATATTCAAACATGAAAGTTGACTCCTGTTTTATTTATGAGAAACCAAACAAAACCTGTTGAAGTATAAATGCTATATTATTTAACTTCAACCTTCTCAAATTTTCAATTAGAGAATGTGCATGAGATGGTTTAGCCATGTCTTACATAGACTCTCATGTGCCAGGTTCATAAGTGTGATGTATTGGAGGTGAAGGGTGCTAAACGGGGAAGAGGTAGATTTAGAACTATTTGGAGGGAAGTTGTTGCAAAAGATTTTTTTATCTCTTAACATTACTGCACATTTATCTATAAACAGAGCAGAATGGAGATAAAGGATTCATATAGTGGATCCCAACTAGTGTAGGATTAGTGCTTAGCGTTGTTGTTTTTGTTGTATAATGTTCATTTATGAAAAAATTAAAAAAATGTAAAAAGTATGAAGAATGAATTGTATAAAAATATTAATCTTTTCTGGCTAGGAAAAGTTGTTACATTTATGTAAATGGGTAAATGGGTAAGGTCTGAGTTGAATGGTCATGGATACATATAAAATTTAAATTGGTCTGGAGTGGGTTAATGAATCACTTATGGACCAAGTCACTATAACCATTTTGACTCTGCCTATTGTCTTATACACATCCAAATTCAGTCATTTCCATCTCTAGTTCTATGCATAAATGTGCAGTCATTTCTGCAGGTTTTTGAATTACAATTTTATGCATAAAATCTGTCATGTAAAACATGGCAAATGGCAATGATCTTAGCCAAAATCTAGTTTAGGCTTCTTTTAGTTTGGTTCAGTTGGTTGTTAATATCTGTTTTCTTCATCTCTTAGTTGTGATGCAAAAGAGAAGGAGATTGATCTTGAAAGACAAACCTTGAGTGAGAGACGGAAAGTTCTGCAGCTGGAATATGAAAGATTACTTGATGCACAAGGTTTTCTGAATCAGAGGGAGGATTATGTTGCTAGCAAATCTCAAGAGCTAAATGATCTGGAAAAGGAGTTGGAGGCCTCAAAAGCAATTATTGAGAAGGACCGTAGAGCCTTGAATGAAGAGAAATCCAACTTGGAGCTGGCTGTTGCTTCCGTATCTCAAAGAGAAGAGGTCAATATTTTCAGCTTTTATTTTTTATTTTTATTTTTTATTTTTTTTTAAAGTCAGAACGTGTGATTGTTCTATGAGCTTGTTACCAAGTTTCTTGAAAGATGTATTTATTTTTTGCCTTGTTTGGGTCTGTGTAGGCTGTTATTGAGAGAGAAGCTCATCTAAACAAGAGAGAGCAAGAGCTACTGCTTTTGCAGGAAAAACTTGCCAGCAAGGAATCTGTGAGTTAATTCTATCCTAATCTCCATTTGTATTGCGTTGGATATATGTTGTTCAGTAAACTTTGGATTTTACCATTTACCATCATGAAATAATTTTGCCTTTTCTATTTATTTAGTTTTCTGACTTGAAATTGTGATTGGTCAATGCAGCTTGAAATTCAGAAAGTTATTGCCAATCATGAGACTGTTCTGAAAACAAGGAAGTCAGAATTTGAAGCCGAGTTGGAGATAAAACGGAAACTGGTTGAAGATGAAATTGAGGCCAAGAGACGAGCCTGGGAATTGAGGGAGGTGGACCTTAGACAAAGGGAGGACATGTTAAATGAAAGGGAACATGACTTAGAGGTTCAATCAAGGGTATTGGGTGATAAGGAGAAGGATGTTTCAGAAAAGGTCAATTTTCTTAATGAAAAAGAAAGAGTTCTTAATGTTGCTGAGAAGGACAATGAGTTGAAGAGATCACTCCTGCAGCAAGAAAAAGAGGAGATTAATAAAATGAAGTTAGACCTTCAGGAGTCTTTGAATTCTTTGGAAGACATAAAGAGACAAGTTGATTGTGCAAAGGAGAAACTAGAGACTATGAAAAGTGAAACAAATGAGCTCTCAGTTTTGGAGATGAAACTTAAAGAAGAGGTTGATATGGTCAGGGCTCAGAAAGCAGAACTTATGGCTGAAGCAGACAGATTGCAGGTTGAGAAAGCTAAGTTTGAAACTGAGTGGGAGCTGATTGATGAAAAAAGGGAAGAACTAAGGGTCGAAGCTGAGCGAATAGTTGAGGAGAGACAAGCTGTTTGTAGGTTACTGAAGGATGAGAGGGATAACTTAAGACTAGAGAAGGAAGCAATTCAAGAGCAACATAGGCATGATGTTGAGTTGCTGAACCATGAGCGTGAAGAGTTCATGAACAAGATGGTGCAAGAGCGTTCTGAGTGGTTCAACAAAATTCAGAAGGAACATGCAGATTTTTTGTTGGGCATTGAGATGCAAAAGAGAGAGCTGGAGAATAGTGTTGAGAAAAGGCGTGAAGAGATTGAAAATTATTTAAGGGATCAAGAGAAAGCCATTGAGCTAGAAAAGAAAAATGAACTTCAGCATATTAGTTCTATTAAGGAAAAGGCAGAAAAAGAGTGGGAGCAGATTGCTTTAGAAATGAAGAAGCTTGATTCTGAGAGAATGGAGATAAATGTAGACCGTGAGCGAAGAGACAAGGAATGGGCTGTGCTGAATAAATGCATTGAGGAGCTTAAGGATCAAACACAAAAATTGGAGAAACAGAGGGAATTATTACATGCAGAAAGAGAGGACGTTTGTGCTCAGATTGAACAACTTAAAAAATTGGAAGATTTAAAACTTATGTTGGATAATATGGAAGTGGCCAAGATGCAACAGTCAAACATAGAGTCTAGCTGGCAAAAAATTTCTGCACTAAGATATTCAAGATATCACTCTGAGAAAGATGCCGATTTGGTATCACGTGAAAGAGTAGATATTATTAACAATGGAAATGGACTTGATTCTCAATCTATACTAAAACCAGATGTTTCTTCATCCCCTAACTCTGTGCGTTTCTCTTGGATCAAACGTTGCACTGAACGGATATTCAAAAGTTCTCCTGAGAAGCCACTGCTGAAGAGTGAAGAAATATCTGTGATATCCAATGATGCAAGTTTGACATCTGGTGGCAAATTGGATTCTTCCAATGGGTATAATGGACAAAGGTTCAAGTCAATTGAATTTTTAGGCAAGAGACAGCCTACCAGATATGCTTTTGATCAACCAAAGGTGACACCTGATCCCCCTGGAGGTCAAATTGCCAAGGGAACACATGACGATGAATCTGACATAAAGGAAGATGCCAATGCAGTGCCTACATCTCCTGAAGAATCACTTCACGCTGGAAGGAAAAGGCGAGTTAAAAACTATCCTCTAAATGTTTCTACTGATGTACTACCAGAGCGAAGGCAGAACAATAAGAGGAGGCGGCAACAAGAAAATGCAGCTGTAGAAGTACCCAGAGATGCAAATAACCACTGGTACAACTCTTGTTAAATTATATCCTTTAGGGTCTCCTCAAATGTTTTGCCAGTATTGATGCATGGTATTACGTGTATAAAATGATTTGTTTCATTTATCTATTCCCAGTGTGACCTCAACCCAGGTAGAAACACCAGAGCATCAACAATCAACTGATGAAGTTGAAGATACCAATGTAAATGAAGAAAAAGTTGAGAATTTGCCGAATTCTGAGGTGACGTGTGATCTCGGTCCTGTTCGAGATGGGGGAACAAGTGATCTTCCAAATCAGAGATATGTGGAACATAGTGTGGTCCCACATAGCTCAGAGGTCACAGAAATGAAAGATCATGTCGAACATGATATTGATCAACATAAGGTATATGATTCATTTTTTTATGATTTTTTATATACATCCCTGATGATGGGACTCTTAACTTTCATTAAAATGAGTTTTAGCTTCTCTAGATGTTAATTGAATTTAGTATGTTTCTAAAATCACCAATGAACTCTTTTTGGTAGCAGTTCTTTCTGTTTGCTTGGTAATTTATTCAGCTTACACCTTTTATCAAAAAATATATATTAAAAAAAAATTCATGTTTTGTTCATTGATTGGTATGATCTTCTGACCATTAATTGGCTTGTATCCTATATGGGATGATGAGTAGGCTGTTTGCTTCATTATTTGTGTTCAGGCTTTATCCTTCCATGGCTCAGTGTATAAATATTTTTTACTGGATGGTTCCATACTTCAATGTTGTCCATCACACAGAATATGCAATGAGCTGATTTTCCATCCATGTTTTATTTTCTTCCTGTCTGATGGCCTGGAAATCCATTCACTTTTGTTTTGCTAGTCTCATGATGGTGATTTGAGGATGGAAGATTCAAATATCGACAAAACTGACAACAGTGAGCAAGTTGCTGAGGACATTGCAAGGAGGACAAGATCAAAACAGAAGCTGTAGAATTCTAGCAATTGCCTATAGCATGTTGTAAACGTTCATGATTGGGAACACACATCTTTTTCTGTCCAGATTTGGTCACTTCATCAGTTACGACAGTTCAACTTGAGCAGCGGCCTATTTTTTTTCCTCTCTGCCGTAGTATATAGTGCTGGAAGTACTAACCATGTTTTGGTCTAGCCCTTCTGCCTGCTGACTTGTTTTGTGGTGTGATTGAATCATCTCAAAATGAATGGGGGAAATTTGTAAATGGATTGTGTCTATTTTTGTGGGTTTCTGGTAGTAGTTTGTTAATGTCTAGTGTGTCCTTGAGTAGCATAGGCAATTGTGCATCCATGTCTGGCTTATGGGGTTGTGTGCTTTTTATTTACTTTTTCTGAAAGGTAATTATCTTGCATAGTTAGATTCTAGTGTTAAAGTGTCCTAGGTGTGGAGACACTTGAAAATGAAATGAATACAGGAGCAGAATGTGTTTCTTCTTCGACACATTGACCATTCAACAACAGTATACAGTTGCGTGAAATTTGAATTGCATTCTTGTGATCTATAATCTCTCAATGAAAATCAATATATTTCTCCTTTGATATCGCTATTAAAATTTAAATATAGCAATATGATTTTGCTTATATAAAAAAATAAGTTACATAATCACATTAAATTAGACGTTAGAGGGAATATTACATTGGAATAAGTATAGGCCATCTATTTCTAAATGCACTTGCTCATGTCATGGCTAGCCATTTGGTAGTGTTTTAGGTGTATAAGTGGCTGTGGGTGTATAAATCATATGAAAAATGAGAAAAATATGCAACATTATCTCTTTTGTTTCGACTACGTAGGTGAGCGTGTTTATCATGTGCAAAATGACACGGAAAACTGGAGAGGAGTGGTATACCAACCTTCATGGTCTGCTAATATACTTTTGAAAAAAAAAACAAAACACTTTATTGAATTACATTAGAAACCAAACTACAATTCAATACAACTAAGAACTATATTCCGAAACTGAAAGAGAGCTAAAGAAATAGCCTCTCGAGTGAAAGAATGAGCTGGCATGTTAGTTTGCCCTCTCGAGTGAAATACAACTAGGAACTATATTCCAAGATTGAAAGAGAGCTAAAGAAATAGCCTGAGCGAAAGAATGAGCTGACATGTTAGCTTGCCGTCTAGTGCAAGTCAAAAAAATATCAACCGATTGGTAATAAAAAATGACGATATAAAATAATGATATCAAATTCAGAATGGTTTAACTCCACACTAGTCCGTAGCATGGAACTCATTTAATTTAAAATAAAAAACACTTTTGCCATTATAAAAAAAAAAAAGGCAAAAATACACAACAAGTAAACACATTTTATTTCAAAATAGAAAGAAATTAGAAATTCAAATGCCAATAATAATTTCTTGTTTATAAAATTTATAATGCACAAATATTTAAATATAAATGTTAAACTTTAAATCTTATTAAATTATTATATTCTATTAACAACATAAAAAATATTTTTATTACAAAACAAGCACATGACTATTAGATCCACAGATGAATGATCACTAAATTGTTATGCTTTATATGAAATGATTAGTTTAAATCACATATATTTCCTTTTTTGTTGAGAAATTGTTTTTTTGGTTAATAACTACTAATTTCTTTCATATGTCATTTTTTGAAAGTTATTTTACTGTTTGTTGTTTTTATAAGATTAAAGAGTATTAATTATTTTTAAAATTTATTTTATTTTTACTAAAATCTTTCATTTTTTTATAACCTGTTTCAAGAAACTCATTTATATGTTTCTTCCTTTTGTCTTTGAGGCTTTATTTTGGAAATGTTTTTTCTTTTGAAAAAAAAAAAGGGAAATATAAAAGGTAGTGATTTTCTTTTTTCTCTCATCAAAATGCAAGAGTGAAAAAATAATTAAGGAAAGAAAATAGTAATATTTACATTTTTTATTATTTTCTTTTCTCTTTTTCCAAACAAAATGATAGTTTTCAGAAATATGTAAATTAAAATAATTAGAAGAGATAAAAAAATAATTTAATCAAATTAAAAAAACATTTTATTATAATATAAATAATTTAATTACCTTTTCAATCATATTGCGATAAGACTTGTGAACATTTGTCTTGTCAGTACTTATCGTTTCATTTCATTTACTCAGATTGACGTATCTATAATTTTTCTTTTTTTTTTTTTTTAATTTTAGTATTAAGAAGAGAAAACATATCATACTCTGTGGTAATGGTACCAACGTTAGGTAGTTGAACGTCAGCCAAAGATTTAAACAATTTTTTAAATCTCAATAACTAGTTGAATTTTATTAAAATAAAAATAAATTTCATCTAGGTCAGTAATACAAACACATAATAAAAGGCAAAAACCGAAAAAATGATTAGTCGCAGACTCGCACAACGTCCAAACTCGGCCTCTTCTACGTTCCGTCACCACCTCCTCCTCCGCCACTCATCCTCCTCCGCGCAAGACACGAAGAAGAAGAGACGAGAAGAGAAGAGAAAACTAATAGAAAATGGAGAGTAGTGGCCTGTTAGGTGGTCTGCAACCAAATTACCTTCTTTGCTCTTCCCGTAACGCTTCATCTCTCCTTCCATTTCCTTCTTCCTTTGACCGCTTGCTCCAATTCTCTCCTTCTCCTGCATCCGTTTCTCTCAAGGTAGTTTTCTCTTGTCTTTTTCCTTTCCTTTCTGCTTTAGCTTGTTTCATTTGATACATTTTGAGCAATTTGCAGCTGCTAAAGCAGAGTCTTTCTGCCCTGCATTCTGTTTCCCCTTTCAAGCGTGGCGCTATATTATCTGATACTTACAGGTCCGTGCTCTTAGATTTTCTTGTTATTGTTATTCTAAATAGTGTTTTTTTTTTTTTTTTTTTTTTTTTTTTTTTTTTTTTTTTTGATACTTTTGAGCAATTTGGCAGCTGCTAAAGGCAGAGTCTTTCTGAGCCCTGCCAAATTCTGGTGTTTCCCCTTTCAAGCGGTGGCGTATAATTATCTGAAATACTTACAGGGTCTCGTGCCTCTTAAGATTTTCTTGTTAATTGGGTTTATTCTAAATAGTAGGTTTTTTTCTTTTTTTTTTTTCTTTTGTTTTTTTTTTTTTTTTTTCTTATGCAATGCGTAGAAGGTTGAATGAGAAAACAAAAAAAATGGATGGGGATTTGATTGCTCCGGTTTTCGATTTTCGACCTCGTAAGGTTTGATTAATTTGAAACTGTATTTATAATACTATCGGTAACATATATACAAGGGGAGGAGACAGGTAGTCTATCGGGAAATTCCATGAAACAGTTTCTTACAAAGACTTTTTTTTTTTTTTTTTTTTTTTTTTTTTTTTTTTTTTTTTTATGCAATGCGTAGAATTGATGAGAAACAAAAAAATGGATGGGGATTTGATTGCTTCCGGTTTCGATTTCGACCTCTAAGTTTGATTAATTGAACTGTATTTATAATACTATCTAACATATATAAAGGGAGAACAGAGTCTATCGAAATTCACATGAACATTTCTTACAAAACTGTGTTGGTCTTTACCAATTTTTGAAAATTTTGCCTTAAATCCTGGCATGTCTAAGAGAGGTTGGCTGAACTAATATAAATACCTCATAAGAATCAACGGTAGCTATAAATTACCATCACCTTCTTAGGCCGACAGCCACCGTCCAGTCCATACGTACTGGCGTTTGATGCTCTTGGTCACTATATTGTGACTGGTGTTAACCTTTATAGTTTAATCTTTGGTTCCTTTTGATGAATGTCTTACCACATACTTCAAATAACATGTATATAACGTTTAACTTTCTAAACCTCACCCCAACAATTGCATTCTGCAGGAAACCTAAATTGATTATAGTTATTTAATAATTTAGATCTTATGCTGTACAAAACTCATTCTAATAAAAGCAATACAGCATAAAGGTTTTGGCATCCAACTTATGAAATAGATTTATTCTATATCAACTCCTTTACTTTTAATTTCATAAAGGATGGATGGTGAATAATTTTTCTAGAAGATACATGAAGCATTAATATTTTTCAAAGTAAATATAAAGGGAAAAAAGAATGTTCTATAATTAAGTTTATGTGCATTTGTTGCGATTTTGATTCCAGCTTTTTAATCGTTTTTTTGCTCTAATTCTTTGGTTTCATACGATGGAATTTATTTGTTGAATGCAGCAGTGAAACTAATGAATTAGCTGATATAGACTGGGACAGCCTTGGGTTTGCATATGTTCCCACTGATTATATGTATATCATGAAATGCACTAGAGATGGAAACTTTTCTACTGGTGAATTGCAACGATTTGGGAATATTGAGTTGAGCCCCTCAGCGGGAGTCTTAAATTATGGCCAGGTATGCCATTTGTACATTTGGCTTCATTGCTGGCTATTTTGCTCAGATGATGTCATATTTGATTTTGAGATTTGGGCCTTTTGGCTATAAAGTGTGTAAAATTCTGTATATCCTAAGGTAGTAGTGAAATTTTTAATTCCCATTGTTTTATCACCAGGTATGAATGAGCGGGTAAATACTATGTAGGACAGACTAGGCAAAAAGGAGGATTTTGTTCTTTGTATTGTTTGGGGAATTTTTTTCATAAGCCTTTCTATTCTCATTTAGTTTGCCCCTCTCTCACACATGTAATAAAATTTGGAAAAAGCTAAATCTGGTCAGCATTTTTGCAGAAGCTGATTATTTTATAATTTGATGTGGAAAAGGGGGCCGAATAAGCCATTATCTCCTGATAGTTATGTCCTGTGTTAGACCCATAATGAGCCTCATTTTCACCTTGTTTTACATTGTGAGGTGCCTGTGGAAGTGGAACATCTGTTAGGTCCTTTTGAGGACAATTGATTATATCTAGATTCTTTTAGAAATTCTTTTTCTGGTTTAAGATGGAGAATGTTCATCATTGTGGGGGTTTGGGAAGCCCCGCCCAAAAAAAAAAAAATCCAAATTTTTTTTTTTAAATTTTCCCTATAAAAGAGGGCACACTTTTTTTCTTTGATTTGGCCCTCTTAATTTTGAAAATTTTTGTTGGCTACCCTTAATTTTGGAGTCTGGCTCCACTCCTGTATGATCGTGCCTTACCTTGCATATTGCAGTCTTGCTTTCTCCATTAATATGATTTATTTTCCTTTTCTCTCTGAGTATAATTTATTTTCTAGTGAAAAACTCTTTGGGGCATTGTTAGAGGAAAAGAACCAAAAATATGGGAGTAACATTTAATGCATGGATTTTAATGGTGGTATAATTATTCTTTTGGTTAATTTGTGAATCTTGCCTGATAGCAAATGTAGAAAAGATGGAAACTATGTTAAACCTTGTTAAGAAGTTAAATTTCAGAATTGACTATTATTCCTGAAGGGAAAGAACATATGGGGGGAACAGATTGTGGATATGTTGCATTGTTTTCTTCGACTGAATGTTGGAATCTTGAGAACCTTGTTTTGGAGATTGGAGAACTGGGACCCTTTACTTTTATTCAGTAAAGTTTTTTATTTTAACCTTGCGAGTATGAAAGTGTTTTTCCTTCTATTATCTGTTGCTAGGGATTATTTGAAGGCTTGAAGGCTTACAGGAAAGGAGATGGTAATATTCTCTTGTTTCGTCCTGAAGAAAATGCACTTCGAATGAAAGTAGGTGCAGAAAGGATGTGCATGCCATCGCCAACAGTTGAACAGTTTGTGGACGCTGTAAAGGCAACTGTTTTAGCTAACAAACGTTGGGTAAAGTACAACTTTACAGCGTTAATCATTGTTTGTTAGTTGAAGTACAAGTTGAATTATTATGTCTTGTTTCAGGTTCCTCCTCCAGGTAAAGGTTCCTTGTATATCAGGCCATTGCTGATGGGAAGTGGAGCTGTTCTTGGACTTGCACCTGCTCCCGAGTACACCTTTCTAATTTACGTTTCACCTGTTGGAAACTATTTTAGGGTTTGTTTGCTTCTCCTTGCTAATTGTGATTAAGCATAGGTTGCAACTTTGAATTTGGTGCTCTCTTTGTGTACCCATGATTTGAGCTACTGTTCCATTATCTTCTTTGCTTGAGTTGCTGTTTCATTATCTTCTTCTTTCAACAAACAGGCGGATATGATTTCATGTATGGTATATGTATACATGGTCTAATGGCTTAAAAGTTTTTGTTTCATTTTCGTTTGGAAATCTCTTGTTGAGAGCATCATTAGGTTACCACTTCTAATAATGTTTAATTGAAGATTATGCTCCTGAAATTTATGCATATTTCACCAATTTGAGGTTAACATTCTGAAAATTAGTTGACACACCTTAATTAATGAATTCTGTGAATTTAATAATCCTTTCACAAGCTTTTGTATGAACGTGTTTAAACTTTCTGAAATGGACTGTATTGTGACTACTAGAATGCATTGTGATTGAAGCATAGGCTGATTTATGTAGTTAATGCTTTTTCTCTGTTGTCTTATCACTTGGATTTTAATGACCTATAGTCAGAAATTTAATTAATAGATGTTTTTTTGAATTAGCAATGAAGTGATCCACTGATCAAGATAACATGTTTGTGAACTGATGGTGATGAAATTATTCCTGTTTGTTCTGGAGCTCATCTGAGATTGCACGTCTACTGATTTTTGGCTTGTGCATGTGTGTGCACATATTAAGTGACCATATGCTTTTGTCTGTGAAGCATCAGAAGAGTATTGAATAGTAGTATTTGGTATCAGATGTATGCACATGCCCTACTCACCTTTTACGCATGTTAGACGACATTTTTTTTTTTTAACTTATCAGTAAAGTAAAGAAAAATGCTTCAATAAATCTTTAAAAAAGAAGTTAAACTCTAGGAGCAGAGTAAAGGAAGGGAAAGACTCAAAACTTAAAAAAAAAAATAAAAAGCCTTGAGCTACCGACAGTAGATTATGAAAAACGAGAACTGGTTTGTATTGCCTAGTTTTTTTTTTTTTTTTTTTTTTTTTTTTTTTTTTTTTTTTTTTTTTTTTTTTTTTTTTTTTACTTTCAGTAAGTAAAAGAAAATGCTTGCCGAGAGTGAGAGAGTGTGTTTAAAATTAAAGAGTATAATGTCCTAGGAGCACAGAGTAAAGAAGTGGAAAGACTCAAAGACTGAGTAGAAAAAATAAAAGACTTGAGCCTATCGTACCGACAGTAGAGTTATGAAGAACGAGAACTGGTTGTATTGCCTAGTTTTTTTTTTTTTTTTTTTTTTTTTTTTTTTTTCTTTTTTTTTTTTTATTTTCATCGAAGCTATCTCATTTCTCTTTCTTCTTTTGATCAGATCATGGACTTTGCTTGTATGCATTTTTTGTCTTCAAATACCAAGAATCTATAATAGTCTGAATAAAGTAAATATTTTAGTTAGCAGCATATTGGGTCTTCTAAAATTGTGAAGCTAACTTAGTACATATCTCATGTTGCCAAATGTGTTCCCTATTCTCTATGAATAGGGTGTATTTCAAATTTTCATATTGTTGTTGTTATTGCTTATGTGTTTTTTTTTTTTTTTTTTTTTTTTTTTTTTTTTTTTTTTTTTTTTTTTTTTTTTTCCATGACTATCTCATTTCTCATTTTCTTCTTTTGACAGGATCATGGACTTTTCTTGTATGCCATTTTTATGTCTTCAATTACCAAGAATCATAATAGTCTTGATAAAGTAAAATATTTAGTTAGCAGCATATTGGGTCTTCTAAATGTGAAGCTACTTATACATATCTCATGTTCCAATGTGTCCTATTCTCTATGAATAGGTGTATTTCATTTTCATAAGTTGTTGTTATTGCTTATTGTATGGTTTACATATTACTATTTATGTCACATCCTCGTCCGGTGGTTAGTCAATGTTGCCTCTTTTACATATCTGATGCCAGGAAGGTGTTGCACCAATCAATCTAGTTATTGAGCATGAACTGCATCGAGCATCTCCTGGTGGTACTGGTGGTGTTAAGACTATAGGGAACTATGCTGCAGTAAGTTAGTCCTTTATTTCTTGTCACATTTAACTGTCTGTTTATTTATTCTAGGACCTTTCTGTAAGATGCTTATTATCTCTTACATAGAAATGAAATTGGTGTAAAGTTTTTTTTTGTCTTCTGGTTCCTTTTGCTCTCCCGCCAAAAACAAAAAATCATTATGATTATGAAAATATTCATGCCATACATAAGTTTAAATTTAATATTGCATCTGTAATACAATTGTGAATTTGATTTGAATCTATTTTTTGAATCTATTTTTATTCTATTTATTGGATTTTTCTTATAGGTTCTCAAGGCACAATCTGCTGCAAAAGCCAAAGGATATTCCGATGTGCTATATCTTGATTGTGTTCATAAAAAATATCTGGAGGAGGTTTCATCTTGCAATATTTTTATTGTAAAGGTATTGTGAACAAGGAATTAATATTTTTATTGTAAAGGTAGTATGAACAAGGAATTAGCTCTTTTGAGTTTTTTTTTTTTTCCGTTGTTTCCTTGAGGGGTGTGTCATTGACACCTGGTGTTGAGGGAAAATGCCATGATTTCTGTTTTTAGTCATTGCTGCAAAACCACCATTACCACCAGTAACAGTATACTATTTGCTGTTATTTTTGCCTACTATGGCCTACCAAATGTTCATAGAAACACCGATCAGCTTCTAAGACTACCGGCCAAAGTGACACTGTGGAGCACCTACTGCTGTTGTTGGGAAGCTGTTAACAACCTATTATTGACAATACCAGCTTCTTTACTGTTTTGTTGTCTTTTGAATTTTGGATTTCAGCATAACTGCTCCAATTTGTTAATTGGGAATTGTGGCTCAAAATACCTCTTATCAAACTGAAATCTATATAAGGGTTTAGGTTTTTAGGTTTTAAAAGCAGACAGACGTGCTTTTTGCAAATTTTTTCCACTTCATATATATTTTCTCAAGAACTATTCTTTTTCTCATCTTTTTTCAGGAGGTGTAGCTGTTAATTATTGTAATGAAATTGTTAATAAAACAAGGGACGGGGTTTCATAATCCAAAAGTTATTAGCAAATATTATCAGTGGTTTTTTTACTAGACATTATTGTTTAGAGCAAATGCTTTAGTATTGCCATTTATGTTGTCCTTGCTTGTCACTATATTAACAGCTTGGTTGCTGGGATACTTGGCGTCTTTGCACGTGCTGATTCCAAGATGTGCTATTAACTCATGTTCCATCCACAGATTAATTAGCTTTGGATGTAATTTTGGTTTTTTGTCTGATGCCTCGCATATTCTTTGTTAGTTGAATGTTCTTTGGTCTTATGGTATTTTGACTTTTTAATTGTTCTGTTTTCTACTATCCCATGCTGCTACACCTTTGTCTTGGTGAAATAATGGAATAAGAGGATTTTGTTTGTCTTTAGTTTAAGCTCTATGTTTCTCAAGATCATTAAACTTAACAGATTGAGATTTACTCTGCTCTCAGGATAATGTTATCTCCACTCCTGCAATAAAAGGGACAATTCTACCTGGCATTACAAGGAAGAGTATAATTGATGTTGCTCGAAGCGAAGGATTCCAGGTATGTTCTTTTAGCCAAAAACACAATATTTAAATAGATGATAGTGGAGAATTTATATCTTGATTATTTGTCAAACAATTATTGCAATGATAGTGTTAAGCGTATGATACTAACATACTCCGTTATATAAATATGGAGATATGGCAATTCTAGGTCTGTTCACCTTTCTTACAGCTGATGCCACTGCCATTTTTTCAGTTGATTCTAGAGCTTGCCTTTGTAGTCTCAAAACTTGTTCTCCTCCTTAAATTGGCTTTTACCAATATTATTTGCTCCAGAGTCAAACTTTATTCTCCTTAAATAGGCTTTTACTAGTACTATTTGCTACAGAGCCAGAGTTTGCACATGAGGATATCTGATGAAATTGTTTAAGCCATCCTTGTTGCCTCCTTTTTAATTTCTTTCACTGTTAACGTGTCGAGCTTGGGTAGACCTAGGATTTACGGGCTGGCTAGTCTAGGTTTTCAAATAGAGGCTGTATTTGTGACAGATACTCTGATAGAGATTAGAACGCAAGAACAGTAAAGAGAAACAGAATTGACTGAAGAGCAGAATTTGGAGTAATAGTATTAGATGGAGAAAGTTGAAGATAACAATGGAGAAAGACAAAAAAAAATGACTGTAACCGCCCCCAGGACTTGAGCCCGAAGCAGATACTCTGCTCAATACAACAAAAAGAATAAAAGATGCCTTTACATGATTACTGCTAACATATATATATAGAATCATTCCTAACTTGAAAGCCCCGTAAGCACCTGATACTCTGGCTCAATACAGACAAAAAGAAATAAAAGGATGCTTACATGAATTACTGCTAACATATATTATATCTAGAATCATATCCTACTAAACAATGCTGAGCTGTCTCAATCCCTTCCTTGCCTCGCACACCGGTCCCACCTTGGCGTGTGCTGATTTATTCCTTCTATATGGCATAAACGCAAAACGGTTTTGCCACTTGATGAACGTGGCCGAATTCCTATCGATTACCCACCCGCCCTTCTGAAAAAGGCCCTTGTCCCTCAAGGCTGGAAAATTTCGAATTGGCCCTTCAGGGTCAGGACTCTGTTTGAAATTGTGCCTTCAGGTCAGACTCGTTTATCCAAGTTGCATCTGTTTCGCTTTGCCCCTGCCACTGAATTAATACCTGAGGTATTGGGCCTGAAGTGGAGTGCAGAGTTCGGCGCTGGCAAACTTGATATGGCTCAACCAATGGACCTGCTTCTATGTCGAGACCAGCCGGCAACTGTGCAATGACTGGATGGTTGCCAATTACCCTCTTGAGCTAAGACACATGGAATACAGGGTGTATTTTGGATCCCAAAGGCAGTTGGAGCTTATAAGCAACAGCCCCTACCTTTTTGAGTACTTCGAAGGGCCCGTAGAATCTAGCAGCCAGCTTGTCATTGACTCTATTGGCGACGAACTGCTGCCTATGTGGCCTGAGTTTAAGGAAGACCCTTTCTCCTACGGAGAACTGAACATCACGACGTTTGGGGTTAGCATATTTGGTCATCAGCTGTTGAGCTCTATGTAGATTGTAGCGGAGCTGCTGAAGTATCTTATCCCTATCTTGGAGGTGCTAGGAAAGAGCTTCAACACGAGTTTCACCCGGGAGCTTCAACACGAGTTTTCCACCCCACGGGTAGGAACCGGGGCTGAACCGGGTTGTGGGTGGCCCTGCCATAGAATAGTTCAAATGGTGTTTTCTTAGGCAGCTCCTTGATAATTGGTGTTAATAAGCGCCAGTATTTTCCTGGCGCTCAGCAAAGCCTCACTTAGCCATGAATTTCGGCATGCTCGGTAGGAAGAAAACACCCTGAGGTTAGGGTTAAGGGCTTCGGTTAGCACTCTCTGTCTGACCATCACTTTGGGGGGTGATAAGCGGTGTTTGAAGGACAGAGTAAGTAACCCTATTGCAAGCGGAAGGAGTTTCAGTCAACAAGTTACTTAAGGAACAATGGGTCGCGGTCACTAAAATATCCAATAGTATAACCGGCAAGCAACCATGGAGTTCTCACAATCTCCCTCATAAACAGAGTGGCTAGGATTGCAGGCTTGTAAAAGGGTGTCGGAAGGCCGAGAAAGTGAGCATATTTTGACAATTCTATCAACCTCACCACTAAGAATGCAGTCCACGCCCTTAGGGACTTTTGGGAAGGGACCTGTGATGAAATGCAAGAGCTATGTCCTCACATATTTGGGCTTGGAACGGAAAGCGGCTTGTAACAGAAACCCGCCGGTGACTTAGCCTCATATTTGATGTTGTGTGTTTGACAGATCAAGCAAGCAGCGACAAACTTCTTTATGGTGCCCATCATACCCGGCCAATAGAAATTGGAGGCAACCCTTTTGTAAGATCTATAAGCTCCTGAATGTTCGCCCAACGGAGTAGAATGAAACTCTTCTATGATCTTGGGTATCCACTTAGAGGAGGGAGGCAGAACCAATCATCCCTTATAGAACAAATTCCTGTGGATGAGAGAATAGTGAGCTTGAGATGGTTTACCCGAAGAGATTTCTGAGATAATCTTGGAGAGAGTGGAATCTTGTCGGATTTCCTTAGAGATCGCATCCCAATCTACCCATTGTGGACCCGAGACGGCTTGAAATTCAATCTCATCATGACAGCGAGACAAGGCATCAGCTGCCCTATTCGTTTTTCCGGTCTTGTATTCAATATTGAAATTGTATCCCATGAGTTTGGCTGACCAATATTGTTGGGCTGGTGTGGACACATTTTGTTGAAGAAGGTGCCTAAGGCTCTGGTATGGGCCTGGTCCAATTTTATTGTTAGAAACAAGGTCCAATCAACTCATTTTCATTCAAACTGCTTCTCTCCGGTAGCCGTGCTGAAATAAGTATATATCTGTATATGAGTATATATCTCTCTCTATCTCTATATTAAAGCGTCGGTTTTCGACTTTTATATAAGGCTTAGATGAAATCTGGCTTGCCAGTACAGTATTATTTATGTCTTATTTTCTTGTGGCCATTTTCCTTTATGCAAATTTGGCTTGGGCTTCCTTTCTTGAGAAGATTGGTGAGGAGGGCGAGCTAGTTGTCCATAATTGCGATAAAGCGCCGGTATGAATACCCGTAATTACCAGAAATCTCGGCCACTGCCTTTGGTAGACTTTGGTGAGATGGCCTCTTGTTGTAGTGTTCCTTGAGACTTTGAAGGATTCCATAGCAACGCCAGTGTCCCCTATTAGAGATCTATATATATGATATTATATATATAATATTATATATTTATCACCAAAAGCAAGCTGGAAGCAGCAAGCTTTAGGTGCCTGTCAATGAGATAATCCCTAACGGACTGATGTACACCAACAATATCGTCGAAGAAGGACTTAGACAAATTTCCGAGAGATAGGGGCGAAAGAGATCGTTTTATTATCTCTCTTATAATTGTGGCTTGCGCTTTGCATGGTTTAACCCAAAACGCATGACTAAGAAATTCGTAATGGCCCGAGTGTGTCCGGAAAGCTGTCTTGGGAGTACAAGAAATTCGTAATGGCCCGAGTGTGTCCGGAAAGCTGTCTTGGGAGTATCAGCTTCAGCCACCCTAATTTGATAAAACCCGGACTTAAGGTCTAGTTTAGAGAAGACCTGAGAACCATGCAATTCGTCCAACAGTTCCTGGATAACCGGAATGGGATACTTGTGAGGAATTGTAGATCGGTTTAGTTGCCTGTAGTCGACGCAGAACCGCCAACTGCCATCCTTTTTCTTGACTAGGAGGACAGGGCTAGAATATGGGCTAGAGCTGGGTTTGATAATTCCAGCTGAAAGCATATCATGCACCAACCTCTCGATCTCATCTTTTTGAATGTGGCCATACCGATAAGGTTTCACCGATATTGGTCGCTGACCTGGCTGAAAGGCGATCCTGTGATCAGTGGAACGACGAGGGAGGCCATAGATTTCCTGAAAAACAGAAGCATGAGCCGCAAGAAGTTCCTGTAATTGTTGGCTCTCAGAATCAGAGTTCTCTACAGCGGAGACACATGACATTGGAGGAGGTTCTGTGGACAATTCTAGTAGGACTGCGGAGAAAGAGACATTTGTGACCTTAGAGAATGATTTGGCTGAAATCGCTCCCCCGGGTTAGAGATGGATCACCACATAATTCCACCAACTGATTTTGATGTAGGAACTTCGTAGTAAGCCGCTACCAATTCACCTGCACATCACCAAGTGTTTCCAACCATGCAACACCCAATATTATATCAAGACCTCTCAATGGAAACATAAAGAAATCACCAGAAATAGTGTAGGAACCCAATTGTAATTGTAAGTTGCTGCACACGCTGGAAGTTTTCATGCGGTGGCCATCACCAAGCTTGACAAGGAACGGGTCAGTGGGTTCAACTGTCAAATTCAGTGTCTTAGCAAGATCGGAGGACACAAAATTGTGGCTAGCTCCGCTGTCCACCATGACTAATACTGAGTGAGAAGCCAATAGACCTATAATTTTCATAGTCTTGGGTTGAGAGAGGCCATAGGCAGAACATAAGGAAAGCTCAAGCTGCTGGAAATGGCTTTCGTTGAGATTCACGGGCAGAGGTGTGAAGATATCTGAATCTAATTCGTGTAGGAGCCCTTCATCTGTGAGAGTTTCATCCTCTCCTCCTATTATTGCCCGTAGGGATTTGTGAGGACATTCATGAAGTGGAGAGTAAGGTTGTTTGCAACGAAAACAGAGCCCCTTCTCTCTTAATGAATCCACGGTTTCTGGGAGAGGAAGTGGAATGTCGGGAAGGAGCAGGTAGAAAGGGTTGGCGAGAGGTAAATTCTGGAGGTCTAGAGGAGTGGGTTATGGGTTGAGTAGTGGGTCGGGTAGGGTTTTGGGTCGGGTTGTGGGCGGGTGGTAGATTTTGAAGTGGGGCGGGTGAGAAAAATTTAGGGCCCAGACCAAACTTACCTTGAGAATCGCTACCAGATGAGCGCAGCGTGGGTTTCTGAGTATATGGTGACTGCAATTCGCGTTCAACCTCCGGCGCAACTCTCATCGTGCGATGCAGTTCCTTAGAATCAGATGAACGGATTCTAACTCGGATTTCTTCTTTTAACCCATTTAGAAAACACCCCAAGAGTTGAAAATCTGTGAGGTCTGGAGTTTGTGCGGCTTGGGTAATGAATTCATCAATGAAGGTGGACACCGAGTTCAATTGTTTTGTGGCAGCAAGCAGCTCGTAGGGATTATCCGAATCCGAACCACTATATTTTATGAGGAGTTCGGTTTTGAGTTGGGTCCATGTGAGGTTTGGAGTGCGGCCTCTAAGCCATCGTAACCAGTGGAGAGGATGGTCTTTCATACCCACGAGAGCCATGGCAACAAACCGGTCTGGAGGGGTGTTTTGTAACTCAAAATATTGCTCAGATCTTGCAATCCAGCCGAATGGGTCAGTTCCGGTGAAAATGGGCATTTCGAGTTTTTGAATGTAGTTATGGGTTGAAGATGATGAGTGTGGGTGAAGGTCGGGGGTGGTGAGTGGGGTACGGGAATTGTTGGTAGCAGACTGGTCTGGGTTTGTTGGATTGGATGGTGAAGGAGGAGGATGTGTCTCAGATGAAGAAGCAGGGGATTTACCTGTGAGAAGAAGGTGTGTAAGCTCTTGGAGACCATGTTGAAGCTCCGAAAGCTGGCGAGAATGATCAAGTCTGATAGAAGCAATAGAGTCTTCAATGGAGGCGGCTACGGATGTCTTCTCTAGAGGTTTCCACCTTTTTTGATCCATTCTGGTTTGGGCATTCAGAAAAATCTAGAGTTTCCACCCTTTGATCCATTCTGGTCTTGGGCATTCAGAAAAATCCAAAGCAGGTCGGACCAAATGATAGAGATTAGAACGCAAGAACAGTAAAGAGAAACAAAATTGACTGAAGAGCAGAATTTGGAGTGATAGTATTAGATGGAGAAAGTTGAAGATAACAATGGAGAAAGACAAAAAAAAATGACTGTAACAGCCCCCAGGACTTGAGCCCGAAGCAGATACTCTGCTCAATACAACAAAAAGAATAAAAGATGTCTTTACATGATTACTGCTAACATATATATATAGAATCATTCCTAACAAACATGCTGAGCTGTCTCAATCCCTTCCTTGCTGCACACCGCTCTCCTTCGTTGCTGATTTATTCCTTCTATAATAAACCAAAAACGGTTTTGCACTTGATGACGTGGCATTCCTATCATACTCTCCCAGGCTGAAAGTGAAAAGGTCATTAATGAATGAAACTCTTGGTCTCTGGCCATATGCTGAATTCCAATGGTCATGAATGAATGTAGAGCCTTTTCTCTCTCGTCTCTTCCTGCAATGTAACTTATGAAACCCAGTGGAGGCTTACAAATGCAAAACGTAACATTGCTGCATTGTCATTGCTAATACGTAATGTCGTTTGGTCTGCTAATATTTTTGTGGCGGGTTAATGTCATCTGTTCCATTTTCTATTGTATATTTCTTTTTATTAACTTGGAAAGTCTCATCTCAACTTAGAGAGGACAACCATATGTTATTGTTACGTTGTTGGTGGTGGAATAACTTTATCCCAAATCCCGACATGAAAAATCTTGGACGCCTTGGTCATCTTCGGTTTCATATCTTAACTCTGTTTGAAGGCAGTGATATATACATCTTGATAACATTGGTATGGCATCAGTCCGCTTCAGGTTTCACATGATCCGTTGAACATGCAGGTTGAAGAACGACTCGTGGCAGTGGATGAATTGCTTGAAGCTGATGAAGTCTTTTGTACTGGAACAGCTGTGGTTGTGTCACCCGTCGGCAGCATCACTTACAAGGGTAGAAGGTAAGAGTGTGTCATTGCTAAATTAAATTTTGCTATTGAACACTGGAAAAAAGGATTTGAGAAGCAACAAATTTGATCTTTTGAAGGAGTTTTGCATCTAGATTTAGTTGAGACAAGGAAGATACATCAGATTGCTCTTTTTTTTAAACCAACTGAATTTGATTCAGAAAATTTTGACACTGAAACATAACTATATATTTTAATGGTCTTTAAAACGAACATCTACTCACGATGGTAAAAAAAAAAAAAAAAGGATTAAAAACGAACATCTACTCGACGATGGAGTTAAATATATATATATATGGTAAAAAAAAAAAAAAAAGGAGGGAGGTTGAGATGTTTAGTAAAACGGCACCACCGAGAACTTTTTTGCAATTGTGCAGGGTGTCTTATGTAGAAGGCGGCTTCGGTGCTGTCTCGCAACAACTGTATACAGTGCTTACCAGACTTCAAATGGGTTTGATAGAGGACAAAATGGACTGGACCGTGGAGCTGAATTAGGCAAATTCAAGTAATTGAATTCTTATTTTTGTGATTTTTACGTTGGTAGAGATTGCGCAAACTCGTAACTATCTTGTGGCAGTTTAAAGGCGTTCACTTGGTGGGTTCTCTTTTCTGTTGATGTGTAGATCGTAAATGTCAGATTGTATTTGATGTTTTTAGTGCCTTTTGAACTATGGCTATGCTAAAAGATTAAAAAAATAATACTAAATTAGTTAAAAGTCTGAGGAACTAAAAATGTCATTTTGATTCCTATTCCAAAATTAACAATAATCCTCCGTCTACAATCATGATCTAAATCAACAGATATCTTAGACTTCTTTGAAACATTCACCTTTATTTCAAGCATGCTTGTATTAATTTTTTATATGAATTTTTACTTGTATTTGAATTTCAGTTTTTCATATCCACTTCCTCCATCTGGTATTAAAGTTCATTGCTTAAGGAAGTTGCTTCAAAACATTCTGAGAGGCTAAATGCCTAAATCCATTGTTTTAAATAGTTTGTTTGTGGAGCAATTGCAAGATTACGAAGAGATTGATTTATTGGAAAGTTAGAAAGATTGACTATTGAGATTGGAAGTTTGAAGCAGGAGAATAAACTGGAAGGCATCAAATGTGTTATCAGAGTTTCAGAATCTAACAGTTTAAGAATTTCAGAATTTTGAAACCAGTACGGTAGTTCGAAAGTATGGTCATGTTCGAAGGAGGTATACCCGTATATATACGCATCCACCTGCCACAGGAGGGAGAGATTATTGGCTGCAATCTTTCAATTATGCTAATCATATAAAGAAATTGAAGATCCTTAATTTCAGATGAGGATGAGCGAATTATTAAATTTTAGCTTAATAATACTGAGATTAATTGTATTTTAAAGCTGTCAGCTAGTAGCTTAATTTACAGTGTACTTGCTGTTATGTCATCCTTGCAATGTTGGGCCAACTGAAAAGATCAGAAGACTCACTTAACAACTTTTCTGTTGGGCCAACGAGAGGCTGTTTTAACGACTCTTAGATTGATAATGGTGTCCCAATTATTGGGCCTACAGCAAGTTCAGTGGACCTTATCCTGCAGCTAGGATTTAACAGTTATCTCCAAAATAAATAAATAAAGTGGAAGATGCCTCGTCTAAACAACAACAATGTTCATTAACATTATTTTTCGTCTACTTTAAAAATTGATCCAGAAGAAAATTTTTTTATTGTTGTTTTGAAGTGTTATTCAGAAAAAAATTATGCTAAAAAATATTAATATAATTAAGATTTTACTTAAAGTTGATTTAACATATTTTAATTAATAATTATAAATGATTAAACAATAGTTTCAAGTGATATTTTTCATGGTTAGTTTGTCAATATAGAAAGCAAGCTTTTCTAAATAATATTTTTAATTTCAATATCAAACAAACTTTTTTTTTTATATATATATAACCAGGAGGTTTAATCCCTTTCGAGCCGTAAAGCGTAAAAGTTTTTGACTCTCCTAATAAAGTACACTATCACAATAAAATGTGCTATCACTTCAACCATTGGTAATATTAGACATACTTTAATCTAAATAAACAGCTAATTTATTACAGTCCTACTAGAATGTAAAATTATTATATCCGAAGAAGTGCATATGTAACTAGCATGTGTGCATATATGTATGTAAGAATTAAAATGAATCGTACAAGTTCTCTCCTCTTTATAACTTTAACTTTTTCTTTTTCACACCCAAATTTGAAGTAGATGAATGTAAGAATTGATCTTTAAGTGTCATGCACTAACAAAATGAAGTAGATGCCAAAGGTTTGGAGCTATTAAAGATTGAAATTTCTAAGACCTTTCTCTAAAGAAATGAATTTGTTTATAATTAACAACATATAAAGTAGCATTATCAGGTTGAAACTGTATGATAAAGATAACACTAAATTCACCTGACCGTTAGACTTTCTAGTATGAAATGAAACTGAAAGCCATTACCATATTTAAACTTGTTTTTATATTTATATATTATTCTTATTCAATTCAACTAGATTTGTATATCTGATTTTTGTCTTTTCTTGTTTCTTTTGACCTTTAGTCTCTTTGTTTTTTTTTTCCTTTTTCTTCCTAATAGCTTTAGTTAATACTTAATAGAATATAGAAGCTACGAAAACGCGTTGGGAGGTACTTTCCTCTGTGGAGAGGTCAGAATTGAACCGACAAAATGAGAATTATCACAAAAAAAATTTCTAAATAAAAAAAAAATATTTTCCAGTCTAATATTAATTTAAAAAGAATTATAAGAATAATTTTTAGTGATCCCATATTTACAATGCATGGCAACATTGCATTGAAACCGCCAAAACTAGCTATTACTTCTGAAGTTTTAATACAGTATTATATTGCAATTTCGCTCCTAATGTAGTACTAAAATCTTCAACTCAACTAAAAATATTACTCGGTTACTCAAACTCACCTCTTGAGCCTCCATATCATTTTTGTAATTTGATTAAAAATAATATTAAAATACCAATAAAATCGGTTTGAGCCAAAAGAATTCAAGTTTCTTAAATAAAAATTTCTATAATCGAAAAAAGATATATTGAGAGCGTTTCCTTATGGTCCTGACAAGCAAGCGTCAATTTTGTAAATACTTGTTCAAAAGGCATTATCTTGCTCTTTAACTCACTAAAAAGGTTTAGTTGCCTTTTTTCTTAAAAATGGATTTTGTTATTTGTAGGAGTCAATTAAGGCAATGCATCTTTGCTTTGCTTCCCAAAAGCTTCGTCTCTCTCCTAAGAGTGGGTTGCCATCAAGCTAAGTGAAAATAATTCAAGGCATGCACTTGATGAAGATGTTAATGGATATGATGAGTAAATATTTCTGAATCACTTGATTCATGCTTAAGATAGAAAAAGAAAGAAAAAGTTTTCTTTCTTTTTTTTTTTTGGCCATTCGATAGCACATACAATAAATTTTCTATTTTTTATACTTTACACTATCGACAGCAGTTACAATAATTTAAAAGTCCATCAAAGATAATACAACCTATTAAGAGAATTGAATGTTACATTGCATTTCCTTTGCCACTGGACTAGAGATCATTTACAAATGAAAGAGAAAGTTAGAAGTTTAATGTAGATATAATATAATAATTCCCTTATCAATTGCAGGACATTCTAAAAAGAATGGAGTCTATAAGACTTGGGAAAAGTTTTTGGCCTTCCATATATTATATATCACTATCTAAGGGACATTATCTTTCTAGAAGTTCACAATTTGTCAAAAAGCGTTCTTTGACAATAAGTCTCACCCCCGGTATTTTCCTTAATACAATGTTTTAGCTTTACAAAAATAGTTTCTTTGAATGTTCATCTCCAAAGTATTCAAAAAGTCATGACAGGATAAACATATGGCTTGTAGTTTCAAATCATGGTGGTCATTTTATTGCATTTTGGAGAATATATAGGTTTAGAAATTTAACAAGTAACTAAGAAAACATCTAAAAAAGTGATAAATTGAAGATACTGCATCTATGCCAAAATATAAGTGGTTTGATGTTTTTACATGAGCATTAATAAAATAATTAATTCCTCTAAATTTTAGCAAAATCAAGAATAATATGATTAAATTATTATTTATCTCACATTATTATATTATATTTAATACAAATAAGAGTAAAATTGAAAAGAAATTATTTATTACTCTTTAAAATACTTAAAATGACTTATATTTTAGGACCAAACTATTATTCTAAAACGACTTATATTTTGTGATAGAAAAAGTATTAAGGAATTTTGAATATTTTCAAATTAAAAAATATGTAGAGTAAAATCTTGCCTTGGTCAATCGGTAGCCGAAACAAAACTTAGGAGTCATTCATTTGGTATTTCAATTTAATGATTTTGCTACTATAATTTATAAATGAAAAAGGATTGATTGTTTTCTGATATATATATATATATATATATTTAATTTCTTCTTCATATCTCTGCCAATTCTTCTTTAATCGAGGTGACTATCTCCTCTTTTCTTTTATATTTTATTTTATTGTACTTTTTTTTTATTTAATAAACATATATTTTCTAAAATTGTTAATTTGTACCTTTCCAAAAAGATTTTTTTTTTCTATTATTTATTTTCCCTTCATGGATTTTGTAATTCCTTTAATGAGATTGAATGGTTTTTTCATTTGTTTTTAAGAGAAATGATTTTTCGTTGATAAAAGTATTATGTTTTCTTAGACTTTTTAACGTGTTGGAGTTTAAATATTTAGTTTTAAATTTCATTGCAAATGTTCAAGTAATCTAATAATAAAATATTTAGCTTATTTAAAGACTTGAAGATCGAGAGATAGCATGATCTAATAATAAAATCAGGTGTAAATCCCTTCCTAATGCGTGAGAAAAGCAGAAAAAAAATATATATATAAATATCGATTTGCAGCTGAAAATAGCCACCAAATAGAACGCTTTTTCCTGAGTTGCCAAGCCAATTCTGTATTTTGCTCCTTCTTGATGTATATATGTTGTTATAATATTTACTTGTGTACGTTATTTACTTTTTCAATATGAATGAAAGATTTAAATTTAAAGAAAAAGGAACTGATTATTTGTAATTCTTTTAACAACATTATATAAAATTCATTTAAAGTATTAATTATTTATAAGTTATCAATAACATGCAATTACCTATAATTTTTAATTTAAGTCAAAGACTAAAACATGTGAAATTAATCCAAACACAACAATTTTGGAATATAATATACTCAACTTGAACTATTTAAGAACATATGGCTAGCTTAAATACAAGTAATTAAAGGCAAAATAAAAGTTGAAGAATAATAATTGTGTTAGACGCCTAATTTGGAACCTTGACTGCATTTTTCTTGGATTATGCTATAGTTTTTTTCCTAAAAGAATAATGGGTTTGAAAATTGAATGTGCATATATAAGATATTATTAGAGTGCGACAATCACATTCTTGATGTCTTCACAAATCACAATTTTACATCAAAATGCGTATTATCAATTATGATGTTTGCTAATTAGGGCAACTCAAAGATTCCCAAGCCCAAGTTGCCAATGGCAAAGTCATCAAAAGTTTGTTCTATACAGAAGTTGACACTTTTCCGACATTTTTAGATATATGTTAGAGAATTTTACAAAATGTGGCCTATTATTTATTTTATTTTATTAATTTCGGACGTTTTAAGGGTACATTTAAGACTTTTTGAAAACACTTATTAAACATTATAGGGAGACCTTTGAAAATTCTATTAGACTTTTAAATAAATTCATCAATAAAATTTTCAAATTGTTGTCTTAAATATGTGTTTATAATTATTAATACTTAAAATATAAAATTAAAAGAAACATAAAGTAATGAAAAGCTCTACCTTATAATTTATAATTTGTAATTTATTACTTATTTATTATTATCAAATTCAAGAACTAACTCGTGATGTTAATTTAAAATCAGTAATTTACAAAGCTTTTTTTTTTTAAAAAAAGAGTTAACAATATTGTATCAAATAAATTGAAATATAGAATATTATCAGATATTAATTTGACCTCTTTTATAGTCGTTGAAATTCTTGGAATTATCAAGTTATCTTTAAATAATTTAGAGATGTTATGATTTTCAATAATGATATTAATTTCAAGATTTAACTAATTATTATTTTATTTTATATTATTATTATAAATAATTTTTTATGTATTTAAATTATTAATAAATAATATTTATTTAATGCAATGTCCTAAACGTGCTGGTGTGCTACTTTTTAAAAAATTACTGCGTTCTATATCCGTGTGGTGTCGTGTCCTATATCCGTATCTATACTGCCAAGATTATTACTATTGTGTTAATTTAAAATTAATAAAAAAATTTCATTTTTTAAAAGTAAATTAACATTTTAATTTTTAAGTATTAAATAATAGTAATTATATATCAAAGACGGTCAAAACTTCCAATCCCATTCATTTTTATATCTTCTCCATTGCTCATAAATAAAGTATTAAAGAAGAAGGGTAGCAGAGGAATGACATTATAGTTCAAGTCCAATCCCAAAATTAAAAACCAGTGAATATAAACACAGGCTGCTCTTCCATTGCCTTTTAGTTGTCAAATTATAACAAATCAATTATTTATATGTATATATATATATATATTAATTAATTAAGTGGGCATAGTCAGAAAAGTACCTCGAGAAAGAATCCCCTATGGAGAAAATGCCTTGAGAAGAATGGAGGCTTTAGCTTAGCTGTGTTCAATTCATAATTTTTTACTGTCAAAATGACCCTTTCAAAGTAAATACTAATTAAAACTTTCAATTAATATTACACCCATCAAATTAAGTTTTCTGACTATGGTGCCGTACCATCAAGACCATTTCCCTTCTTGCGTGTTCAAAAGTTTCATTCTATATTTTTACCTTCCTCTTGACCTACCAATTAATTTATTTTATAATATTTTTTTAAAATTATATAATTTTTAAAATTTTCAAAAAACAACTGTTTTTTTCCTATTATTATTCATTGGGACACAACAGATTGAAATAAAATAATAAATTATATAATATGAAGGAGCTTTCCCCTTTGCTCACTAAATTAGTGAAAACTTTTGTAATTGAAATGATTCAAACTCGAGATCTCTCCTTTTTTAAATTAGTAAAAAACCCTACCAGATCACACTCAGTTCAATTGGCAAAAGACAACTATTTTTCACATAATAAAAATATTATTAATTCAAATAGTTAATAAAACTCAATTTTTCATTAAGAATGCATTTTAAAGCAAGCATTTACCTATAATTACAACGTCAGCCAACCATTATCACTATCAAGCATATTACTTAAACATCATGCTTAGTCCAGATACGGAGACACATGTTTAAACGGAAAAAAAAAAAATCTCAACTTATTTTCAATTTACAATATAATGTTATATTTATTTATTTTTTTATGTTCTATATACTTTATTTTTTGAAAAAAAAAAAGAAAAGAAAACCCTATCAAAGTTTAATCCATTGATTAGCTCATGATGGCATATACCATCAAAAATTTAAAACAGACACAGTCAAAAGCACTAACCATTTTTAATGTATATAGAATGGCCTCATTGACATTTAACCTTCTAGCTCCATTTGAAACATTAAAAAGTATTAATACTAAAAAATGAATAATAAAATAACAAAAGTATAAAACGAGAAGCGATAAGGTCTGAATTAGTGATGAAATGGATGTGACAGTAGACTTTCCTGTTTCGTTATTGATAATACAATTAATGGACTATGACCATATTGCATTTATTTAAACATGTCCTTAATTATAGATTTGTTGCTTAATTTGGGTCCCAAGAGATCTCTATTCACTTAATTCATGATTTAATTAAGTAAAACCTCTATTATTGCAGCTGTTGTTATTTGAAAATTTTTCTTAATAATTAATATTTTTATTTTTGTGCTGTGATAATTCAACCCATTGGTTACTGTTTTCCTTAGATCAGAGTAAGTTTTTCTTCTTGTTCGGCCAATTTTGGTCACCAACCATAACAGAAATTTTAATCCAACCTCAGAAATTTTTAATTTACATTTTTTTTTGTCCTGTAATCATTAAATGTCTTTCTCATAGTGTACTTAAAGAGTGAAAATTTTCAAATTTCTTAGGTAATATATACCAATATACTGAAAATAAATTTTATAGTGTCTATTTCATCTCACGATTTTACATTATTGCTTTAAAATTAGCCATTTTTTGTACATTAAATGTTAATGGCTCTACATTTTAGTTAATTCTACATTTTTTTCACTTAATTTTAATTCTTGGCATTTAAATTTTGATTACCTTAATCTTTTAAAAAAAAGTTATATTTTAGTACTTTTGATTTCAAAAAATTCAGGTCGAATTTTAAATTTGTTTTTTTCTATGTGTGAGAGATGCTTTTCAAAGTCGTTTCTTATGTGATGTAGGATTGAGTACAGATCAATACGTAAAGTTTAGATTAAACCTATAATTATAAGATTATTTTAGAAGAGATTATTGAACTTTTGTGTGTTAGGTCATGGAGAAAATAGCCCTAGCTACTCATTCTTGTGGTGAGGTTATCCAATATTTTGGTGGCTTTTGCCCATTGGTGTAAGAGCTTTCTCCCATGATTTGTTATTCAATGGCATATGGGGATTGAAACAGAAGTACTCTTCTCCATTTTGTGGTGGTTCTGCACTTTATGAGGTTTTTGCGTTTGGTGTAATTAATTTTATAGTAAGAGATAAGTTATTGTTGTTTTATTGATTGAAAGTTAAAATGACTGAAAGAAATTTCGCAGCCACGTAATTTTTATATTTTGCAATTCTTACCGAATTAATGAAAATTTTTATATGATCTGAAATTTACAAATTTAATATTTTATCTCCACATCTTTATATAAAGTGAAAAGTGAAAAGATTAATTAAATTATATGTGGTTGGTATAATTTAATCATTTCTAATGAAAATATAGGATAGATTAATCTATTTATCATGAGTAAATGAGAGGGATAATTTGGATATAGTTGAGTTTATGGATTTCAGAGCAAGAGATGTACATAACTGTTAATATTGATTAGCATAATAAGCTATTGTTATAAATATGATAGCTTGAATTAAAAAAAAATTATTTTTGATTAGTTTAGTATATGAGTAGATCCATATATCACGAGTAGACACATTTATAAGAAAAAATTTATCTACACCCGCAGGATGAGCCCATTTAATTATATATCAAATCAATTACAAATAGGTTTTTGATTCAAACAATTTCTAACTATATACTAAGAAAAAAAAATAGTAACAATTGTTTAAAAATTCTTTTTTTTAATTGGTTTAATTATAAAACTACTCATCCACCAAGTGTAGACGAATCATATCCATATTTATATATGTAGCCCAAGTAAAATGGTGCACAAGGTAAATAATTTATTTTTTATTTATTTTGTTTATAATGTATTTGATGTTATTGTTACTATAATGTAACAGTCTTCGTATCTAACAAGAATAATAATGAGAGTGTGTTTTCACTAAAAAAAAAAAGAATAATAAAGAGTAATGGTTTTTTTTTTTTTCATAAATGCCAATCAACTAGTGACTATTCTCTCAAAAAACATCAACCTTTGATTAATTTTATGATAAATATGCTATTTAAAAAAAGAGTGAAAAATATGGATGTATACCATGTATTTGCTGAAAAAAAAAAAAAACAACAATAATAATGAATAACTGTTTTTTTAATATTAAAAATTATTTAATTGTATTTTAACTTGAGAAACAAAATTATTTATTTAATTGTCGAAGAAACATTTTAACATTAAAATTTAAAATCTCTTAATAGGGAAATGGGATGAAGAATTTACAATAGAAGAGAGAAAGTTATATCCCCTAATCCTATGTAGTAATTAATCTAATGACAAATTTAAAATTATTTAATTGCCACAACATGTGAAAGAAAAGTCCCTAAAAAAAAAAAAGAAAAGAAAAGAAAAAAAAAAAAAGAAACTGGACTGTTTCTTTTCTGTTGCATGACACACTCACACACATTTATTACATCGAATGGAATTCTTCCTGGAAAGTACTGGACAATTCAATGACGCTCTCTACCATGCATACAATTCCTTTCATTTAGCAATTATAGTATTAAGGAACCATTCAACCAATTGAATCATCCTCCGTATATTTTGAGCATCATTACTTTGGTCCACCAATTGCATGGATGGCTCTGATTTAGTTATCAAATCACCAATCTTGATTCTCGAAGGGTATTTATTAAAGCAGACTTCTTTAAATATTAGAAGAAAATTATGATTAGTGGGATATATATCTGTTGTAGATTCTGGACTAATGACAAAGACAAATAAGAAAAAACCTATATTCTACTGTTCTGGCATTTCTCATTTTCTTAATTCTTTATTATTCTATTCATAAAGTTATTTCCATCTTTCTTTTTTATTTATTTCTTTCATTTGCCTTTTTGAATTCCTCTCTGTCTTTCCTTCTCTAGCTCTTATAGTCTCTCTTTCTTCAACTCTCTTATATGTGTGTGTTTGTGTGTATATATATAAGATTATCATACCATTATTGTTTAAGGGATAAGGAACAGGAAACCAAAGCTATAGCTAAGAATAAGCAAAACTAAAAATGGGCAGAGCTCCTTGTTGTGACAAAGCGAACGTCAAGAAAGGTCCATGGTCGCCGGAGGAAGACGCTAGGCTCAAGGAGTATATCGAACAGAATGGCACCGGTGGTAACTGGATTGCCTTACCTTCAAAAATAGGTAATTGATTATAGCTTAAAAAGTTTATAATCATCAACAGTTAACCAACAACTTCTGCCGAGATCGACCATTAATTGTTAATTAGTTGTTTATTTATATGCAGGTCTTAAGAGATGTGGCAAGAGTTGTCGTCTTAGATGGCTGAATTATCTCCGGCCAAATATTAAGCACGGAGGATTTTCAGAGGAAGAAGATAACATTATTTGCAGCCTCTATATTAATATAGGAAGCAGGTAATTAATTAATTTATACCTGTAAATTAAAAATAATAAATCATGCTTAATTTTAAATTCTTTTTTACATATTTTTTGTTAGGTGGTCTATCATTGCTGCTCAGTTGCCAGGAAGAACTGATAATGATATAAAGAATTACTGGAACACAAGGCTAAAGAAGAAGCTTTTAGGAAAGCAGCGAAAGGAGCAACAATCGCGACGAAATAGTCTAAAGCAAGAGATAAAGAAGGAAAACCAGATTTTTATGGCATCTGCTAATGACTTTATTAATCAAGAGCAGACTACTAATTACTGGCCAGAGTTACCATCAACATCAACAACCTCTATTATACCAGCAGTAATGAATCCAACCCAAGATTCTCAGTTCTTGGATCAAGAATCTCTTAAAAGCTTGCTGATCAAGCTAGGAGGAAGATTCTCTGATAATAATGATAATAATAGTGGTAATAATAATCAAGAATTGATAATTTCTAATACTAGTGTTTATTCTCTTAATCATGATCAACCATATTCAAATACAGTCAATATGGGTTCTTCTACTGCAGCTTCTGTAGATAACGGCAATTACAGTCTCTTTCAAGGGCTTGATGCTTTTTCTGCCGTTGATTTCGATGAATGGGTTTATAGTAATAACCAGCAGCAGCAGGTAGAAGGTATGCAGAGTTTGTATGGATTGAGTGGTAGTACTAATGGAAATGGAGCCATTAGTTCTGGAGAAAGTAGCAGTTGGGAAAATAATATTAGTGGAAGCTCTAATTTGGGTTATCCTGCACTTATTTCTGAGTTTGAGACTTGCTTGCAACGTCCACCGCAGCAACAAGATCATTCTTCATCTTTTGAAGTTTCGAGTTACCATTTTGGGGCACAATAGTTACTACTTACTACTGCTTCTTTAATTAGTACACATGATTTGTGTAAATTGTTAGTTAGTAGGAAATTTGGTATGGTGTTATTGGAAATTAATTACTCATAAATTTAATCAAGAGAGATATTTGTTAATTTTCTACTTTTAATACCTTTTCTAATTCATTTTTTCACGCGTTAGATTTAATTTCTTTTAGGATTTTAAGTAGTATATTCGCGAGATTCTTTACACTATAATCTCCATGATCAATAATTAATGTTTAAGCAATTAACTTTATCATCTATTTTCTTAATTAATATGTACTTAATGCAAAAAGTAGCTATCTTAATTTCTCTTTCTTTTGATTCTGAATTCGAATTTATTAGCTCACAAAAGACGACTCCTCTTCCTCTAATGCTTTTGAATTAAAACTCGTTGATAATATCTTATCAAAATTTTGTATATATTAATAAGGTAAAGTGGGAAATGCTTAGACAATTTTGGCCATGCCTTGCTCGGCTCTAGCAAAGTAGGGCACAAAAAAAAAAAAGGCTGCATTCTTTTATTGTTATCTTCATGTCTGCAATTAACAATAAGAGCTGTGAAGGCACATGCAATCACTTCATCTCATATAGTTCCAACTAGAACAGTACTAAGAACACAAGTTACATGCTAAAGGCACTTTTTATATACAATTCCTACTGTTAGGTCAGGTGGGTTAGCTAGCTATTTCTATATATTTATCCATCTGCTATTGATAACAACAAATACAATAATAGAAATATTCTTTAGTCCCGTCTCAATCCAATTGTTTTGAAACCTTTGATCATCATTTTCCCTTTTCTCTTGTGAAAAAAAAAAAATGTCAGATTGGTGATGTTGGTTTCTTTGAAAAACACATCAAAACCTTCTTTTCATTGTCTTCTTCATTCTCAGCTTTTCAAATTAAACCTTAATTTCTTGGAAAGAACTATATATATGTTCATGGTTAATTTATTGTGAAGAGGTAAATTTGCAGCCATCATTTCCATCATAATGAATAGATCACATCAAAGTTGACTATTTATGATCAGTCTCAGTCACTATTTCAAATGTTTTTTATGGCACATATATTTGTACAGTTATTGAAGCCAATTCAGTGATTTAGGACAAGAAGATTGTTATATATTATATATATGCATAAGGCAGTTTTGTGCAATCTTCCAATTAAATTATAATAATTGGTTAATTATAATGAATTTAATTATGATAAAACCATTAGCATGCATCATATTTTACATGTAAAAAAGATGGAAGAAAATAATACACAAAATATAATTAAACATGGACTTTTGTTGGAAGAGTCGATGCCAACTATGTACGTGTATGTTGATGTGTTCTTTGTATGTAAGCTCTCAAGTCAAAAAGAGATAAATGCACCAAGTTAGACAAAATTGAACAGGTCTTTGGTGGCCTTAATCAGCAACATTTAAGCTTGAATATATTATAGCTTAGCTCAGTCAATCACTACTTTTCATAGACAGCCACTATGCCAATTTTCTTTTAGTTAATAAGTAGGGGCGGAGCCAAACAAAATTTTCAAAATTAAGGGAGTTAAAATTAGAGAAAACAAATTTGTGCACTATTTTATAAGGAAAATTAAAAAAAAAAATAGAATTCCTGTTGTAAGTGTTTAATGAACAAAATGAGAAGAAGTAAATAAATCTTAAGGTTTGATTTTTAGAATTACTATTCGAGAGATAATTTGGATATAAAAATGCATTGTTGGGGTCTGTTCGACAAAATCAGTTATTTTGGTAGCCATTAGCTGTTTTAGTAACATTTAAATTTTAACTGTTTGAGTAGCTTTTATAAAATGCTAAAAGCTAAACGTAATATAAGTTAACATTTTATAAAACGCTATCTTAACCTTTAAAAAGTTAGTCCAAATGTTATATTACCAAATACTATAAAAAAAAAAAAAAAAAAGTCCAAATGTTATATTACCAAATACTATAAAAAAAAAAAAAAAAAAAAGTATTTTTGGACACTTGCCGAATATAGCCCATAAAGCTCATTTAAAAAAAATATTGATGAATCTATACCCATTTTATTAAGAGGAATCAATTCTCAAAAGTGTAACAATAAAATAAGAATTAATAAAAAAAAAAAAAAAAAGTATTTTGACACTTGCCGAATATAGCCATAAGCTCATTAAAAAAATATTGATGAATCTATACCCATTTTATTAAGAGGATCAATCTCAAAATGGTAAAATAAAATAAGAATTATTTTTTTGTTGGTAATAAACTTCATTATCCTTTCTTATTTTTTCTATTTAACAAAATTTTTTTAATTAAAATCATACTTTAAAAAAGAACTAATAAAAATATAATGCATAAAAGTTATATATTTTTATTTCATTCTTTCATATATTTTCTAGAAATATGAGAATAGATATATAATACTAATGAGCTATTTTTCTATTTTGGGAAAACTAATACATTTTTTATACTCAAAACATATATAAACAAGATCAATTTTTTGGGTAAAAAAAAAAAAAGACGAATTTGTATTTTTTTACATACTAAAAATATATACTAAATAAAAGTTTAAAAGGTCTGAATCCTTATTTTTACTCTTCCAACCCATGTCTATAGATATCGTAGTAGATATAATCCACCTAAGAATTTTTCCTACTCAAAAAATAAAGTGATATGTATCACTGTGTAAATTTATATAAGGATATCCTGGATTAAATGGAAGAAAAGAAAAAACAAATAATTCTTAGAAGAAAAAGCATATTAAACTATGGACTATCTAGAAATAAATTCTACTACTTAATGTTATTTTTATTTTAAAATCACTCTCATTGTAATGCCATTATTTCACTTGTTTATAATTTTTGTACTAGGCTGGTTGTGGGAATGACCATTGTTGGATATTGACCCATACCTAACTATTCATCTCATCGTTAACATTTTGTTTTTCACTCATTGAACATAGTTCTTATTTCCTGATTTTGTCAACAATCTGTGATTTGAGTTTCATCACCATTGATCCCCTATGACTAGGCTTTATGTAAACCATGAGGTAATCAAAGTTCCTTTGTGTCAAGGTTGTTTTGAAGCAGTTATAGCTTCCAACACATGTATATGTCTTACCATCAAAACAAAAGAAAAGCATTTATTTAATTAATTTGAACATCAAATTCAATTATATATACATTCAGTTATATATACACTGAATTATTAAAAAGCTCGTTCATAAGATTAACAAGCCAAATTGTTCAAGTTTGCTCATCGGGCTTGTTTAATATAAGAGCCGAATTAACTTGAGCTAAAAAGTGGATAATTTTTTTTTTTAACCACAAATTGCAATGAGCCAAACTCTAACTTAGCATTTCAAGCTCCAATTGAGCTCAAGTTCGAATATATTTTTATTGAATCAAATTTGAATTCAATTGTATTTGACTCAACTCGACTTATTCACAGTATTATATTTTAGAATCGAATTATGTAGTTACAAATTCTAATTCTAATAAGAGCTTATTTAATTAAATATCAAGAAAATATAAGAATTCACTAAATAAAGAAATACAATGGAAAAATAATTGAGTCTTTTGATGACTGATTAGTTCTTATAGCCTAAGGTCAAAACTAGACCGACTAAATTAATTGAGAATTGATAATAATCACATGTAGTTGTTACAAGTTGGATCAGATTACTAGTTTCCATACTGACTTTCATCTCAATTTTTTGTCTCATTGGCCAATATTTTTTTTTTGTTATTATTTTTATTATTAATTAAATTAGAATTGGTTGACATGATTTTGAAATATTAGCTAGCTAGTTGATTTTGTCAAGTTTAAATTTAAAAGTCTATTTAACAAATTAATTCAACTCTCAAATCAATCTTTAAAAATTAAAATAAACTAACAATCACAGTGTCAAATATATAAATAGCAATCATATTAATAATTCTCCGTGCCGACATGCTTATATATATATATATATATATCTTGTGTCTAATTTGCAAATTAAATTATTTCCACCATTAATTATTTTATTAAAGAAATAGCATAAGCTGCAAGTCACTGAATAAAAACACAACTTGATTAATTCCTGTTTCTGATTATTAATTTTTATTAAGCAACTATCATATCAAGTCTATGGTTAACAACTAATTAAGCATGCTTAAATTTTTCTACACATAAATATATTTTTTTTCCTTTGTAATTTTTTAGTTGGTGGGGGAGCAAGAAACTTCAAGAAAACATCATCAACTATTATAAACTTCTATATATATTCAAAGACTTTACCAATGGAGAGACCAAAAATTAAAATTATAACCTTTTCAAACATATGTTTTTTGACTTTTGTGCTAATATATTAATGTAATTAATTTATTTAATTGGTGCAAGAAATTTCTTTTGTCATCCACTGCGTCGTCTTTAAGGAAATGTTCACATTTTGTTGTTTGTGTGAATCTTGGAAAAATCTGTCTCTCAAGGCTTCAAGCTTATTGACAAATATGAATGGCCAAAAACAATTACATCTAAATGTTCCAAACATTCTCAACAAACAGCTAAACAACAAACTCAGTGGAAGCTATATATTGGCAATAAAATATTTTTAAAATTAATTCATTCACTAATAATTAACTTAACAAAAACGAACAAGTGCATGCATGAGAGAATCCCACCATAATTCTGACCTAGAAGTAGGGACGAAAGTGAGATGGCTTTTTGAGGGCACTCAATCTGCAAAATTGGGCTTAAGACGGGTACGAGTATCAAATTAACTATTTACCGCGGATTTGTGTTGAGTTTGCGTTTAAAGCTGTGAGTACTTTCTACATATCAAAACTTATTTTATAATTCAAAAATATTAAATACATTAAAATTCAAATAAAAATTTAAATGTATATTGAGCTCAGTCAGTATTTTGCTAAAACTAAAATAAATTAAATCCAAGCTTAAAATTCTACACCCTTATATCATCTAATACCAAAAAAAAAAATTAATTACTTAAAAAATATATTAAACCACTAGAATTTAATTTAGAATTATCCTTTATCCATATTTTTCTTTTTTCCATGCAGCTGTTTTTTTTTTCTTTTTCGTTTTTTTTTTAAATATTGAATTTGAATTATTCTTCCCTTCCTAACTATCAAATAAGCA